GCAAAGCATCGTCCAAGACCACATGGACATTTGTTCCTCCAAATCCAAAGGAATTTACTGAGGCGCGGCGCACACCTTCACAAGGCCAAGTGACGTTCTCGCTGGGAACCTGCGATAATGTTAGCCCAATAATTAGTTCGAGGGTCTATAATAACCTACCCTGACATTGTAGAAGTCTGCGTCGATTTTCGGGTTTATTTTTTCGAAATTTGCATTTCCTGGTATTATACCCTTTTCAAGAATCACTAAAGGGGTATTAGTCACTACGTCTGAAAGGCTCATGTATAGGGGAACAAAATGAGTCTGGAAACTTACATATCGACTTCAGAACGCCAGCTAAGCCACTGCTTCCTTCTAAATGTCCGATATTCGCTTTAACAGACCCACTGCGATATTGTTAGAACTTGGGATTCAAATAAATGCCCTCTCATTGACATACACGTAAAGAGGATCTTCGGGTGAACGACTCGTTCTGAAAACCTTGCCTATAGCTTTCATCTCGATTGGATCACCGACCGGTGTTCCCGTCCCTAAAATGTATTGTCAGCAACGAGTCCCATATCGTCAGGGCATATAATTACCGTGAGCCTCAAAGTAGCGAGTGACGTCAAGAGGCAGATTTGCCTTCTTGTAAACCTGACGAATCAGGTCTTCCTGTGCCTGAGGACTGGGTTGTGTAAGTCCTGGCGTGTGACCGTCTGAATTTGAACTGGTAGACCTAATAACTGCTCGTATCATATCACCATCACGCACAGCGTCCGATAGTGGTTTGATCACGAGGGCAATAACGCCTTCTCCTCGAGCATAGCCATTTGCACGGTGGTCAAAGCTGTAACAACGGCTATCTGCAGATAAGAAATTAAGTGATGATAACATCTGGTATATAGTAGGGCCAAGAATTAGGTTAGACCCAGTGACAATTGCCTAATGAGACGGTTAGCATGAAAAACCCCAATAGATCATTTTGTAAAAATCATATACTCACAGACGAGGCTTCACCAGCCCGTAAGGACTGGCAAGCAAGATCGAGAGCCAACAAGCTACTCGAGCAAGCCGAGTCAACGTGAATACTGGGACCGTGTAAGTCGAAGTACCAGCTGACGCGATTGGGTATAATTGAGGCAAAGGTTCCTGTGACTGCCATGCGAGGTACATTGTCGGGGTCTTGTGCAATCATCCTCTTGTAGTCATCCGTCATTGAAGCGGAGAATACACCACAGCGTGAGGCTCTGAGTCGGTCGAGTGGTATTCCGGCTGTATATCCTTCGTCAGTGCCATCAGCGTGGTGGTATTGTTCGATACCTAACTCACCATTCTCGAAAGCATGGTATGATGCTTCAAGGGTCCACCTTTGCATTGGATCCATAGAAGCCGCTTCTTTCGCGGTCACGGAGAAGAACGGTGCGTCAAACGCTCCTGGGTCTTCTGTAATAAAGTGACCTCCCCGACAGCGAAGCTATAGCATATTAGACAAACGTAAAATTTGTAGTATATAAAACATGATTCACTCACATTACTCTCATTGCTTGATTCGAACGAACCATTCTTAATACGAGACTCTGGCCACTCGGTCATCAAGTTCTTCCTATCCTGGAGTACCTGCCAGAAACTAGAGACGTCGTTGACATCTTGGGGAAGTTTAAAAGAAAATCCTACAACGGCTATGTCGTCAGTCATCGTGTCAGAGAATGTAAATAGACCCCTTATCTCAAAGCTATAGTCTAGTGGCCAGGTGGGAGGACAAAAGTATGCTCGAGAGCCTTCGCCTAGGAACAGGTATACTACCCTACCTTTTATAGGAAGTGTCGTCTAGAGCTACTTCTCAACGTGTATCTTTTTCGGGACCATCCTGCTGGGTAAGACTATACTCGGGTACCAATCAGCAATGATGTCACCCATGGTTCGGCTAGTAAGGTGTCAAAACACTATTCGTACGGCCACTGGAAGCGAAGTGGAAGTCCAGATCATGGATTCATGGGTGGAATACAAAGCTCCCAACTGCATGACTGCGATTTCATTGGATGGCCACGCCGCTATGTATTCCTCATATAGACTATGACAACGCTTTGTAAAATGCCGGATATGGTAGCCGGCACGTACGATCCATTCTCCTACGTGTGAAGTTAGCTGTACTGGCCTGCTACTGCTGCTACGGCAAACCTATGGACTAGTTCTCTAGTGACCAAAGAATCTTGGCCGGCAGTTAGCGGTCTATATTCGTTTCAGTTCGGGGCTAGACACCGCACAAAGTCACAAGCGCCTTTGCCCTGGCCGAGCTAGTCTGGGTAATCGTAACCTAGACCGTTGTAATGTGGGTATGTCTGTGGGTATGCCTCTTAGTAGGGTGGGTGTGGATATCTAAAGTAACTTCTGCTGTACTACGTAGTTGCAGCTCTCCCATTAGATTCCTAGGAAACGGGAGTGGTGAAGTAAATAAGACCGTCTTGGATAAAAGCCTTTAGATTCGGATACTTCTACTTCCAATGTAGCTAACCGGATGCAGTCGAATCAGGGAACTTGCCGAGACCACTTAATATCGTAAGATACTATAAAACTCATGTCACGAAGCAGGTAGCTTTAGTGCTAGAACTGATCCACTTAGCGGTATACGGTTGACTTGGATAATTCGTCGAAGGGTGTTGCTCGCTGCCACGTACGTCAAGCAATATCATTAGAGGTACATTAGGTATATGATATAGTTAGTCTGAGGATACATAGGTGACATGAAATTAGAACGTTGTGGAATCCCTGCCAACCCGGAAGTCTATGGCTCTTCGCAACGAATCGTAAACCCATGATTGTTCGTGCCTACGCTAAAATGCAATACCTTATCCTCGCATTCATGATTCTAGTGTAGTCGGAGTGTAATAAACCTGCCCTCTACCGCTTGATGATCAGACAGTTCCGATCCCCACAACTTCTGACCAAAAGGTCGGGTATTGCCTAATTAAGTATATCCCAGAACCTTGCCGGACGGACTAAAGTATGATGTGTATGTACGGGACGAACTTGGTGAGACATACCGACAATTCGTTCAAGGTTATCGGCTACTGGGATGGGACGTGGGCAAATTAGAAGGTGGAAGCTAGGCACACTGGCACAGGGGTGCCGATCTCGCGGGACGAGTTTAAAAACAGCTGCCATCAGGACCCGAACAGGGGACCCTTAACAAGGGTATGAGAACGGACGGGGTCTTGATCACCTCGGTGTACGCTACCAATGATGAAAATAAACTATACACGCTACCCGCGATGTATGCAACTGTCTGTCACCGCTGCAGGCATGAACCTTACCAACGGGTCATCAGTGGTGAAAATGAGGCTTACCTACGTGTTATTATGTACTGTATTTGGTGGCTAGATAGCCAACTGGTATTGGAAGTTAAGATAAGTACCAACCTACCTATAAAGAGGTACTTAAGCTGTCAGGGGTAGTTGGAATGCCTTTCAACGTGGAGAATTCCCGAACGGTTCACCCCGCAACTCCGGTTCACCGTAATCGGGTATATACCTACGGTTCGGGTTCGTGGGGTGTGTGATCAGCGTAAGTCTTAAGTAATAAGTCTAATCTTATTAACACGATATGCGGAAAATTCCCAACGTGCATATATAGAAGATAGGAACGCACGCTTCGGGGTTCTTATCCTCATGATGCATTGCAGCACTCACTGTTGCACTGGATAAACATATCGCATATGCACCATGCGTGACCGTAGGATTCAACACGCAGCTGTTTTGTTGCAGTGCTTGTATAAGAGAGCCCGGTTAGCGGTTAGCTTTGGCAGATAACAAAACTGTATATAAACAATGATTTATTATTTACCGTTTAAGCTTGGTAAAATACATGCATTTCTTGGCTATAAATTCGCTGTGCTGCGTAAGCGATAGTGCGGAGCGATCCCAAGTGAAAACGAAGGCTTCAATGCGCGTATTACCCATAACCCATAACTTAGTAACTAAACTGAAATGAAACCTTGTTAAAGATATCGCAACTACTTTCCACGTCCATGGGTCCTCAGCTATGGTAGACCCCGTAGGCTCGATAGAGTACGCAGTAGCGGTTACCGAATGTTTTAGGAGGTATCTTGACCTGTCTTCGGCCGGTTTTGGTTTCGCGATCTTGCTTTAATGTTGAAAGGCAGTCTAAAGTTTTCGACACATCATCATTCAGCTTGATACGAATCCCAAGTAGCTACGAGGGATACAGTACTGCTTGGTAGTAGTGCTATGTTAGGAGGGACGGGTGATGAATTTCGATGTCCCGCTGTAAATCCTCTCGGCTTTTTTTCCCTCCTTTTGGGTAAACAGGGCCCATTGCGTGGCTCTTCATACAAGCGACACTAGTATAAAATCCACCTTATCCACAAGTAGTGGGTTATCTGGGTTATACGCAATAGAGGTGATGAGCTAACAGTTAAAAGTATCGACACCGTTGTTAAGTGTTAAAAGATAATTTCGGTGATAGCTGACGCGTCGGCGATGATAGATACCTGGTAGATAGGTGTACAATTCGAAGACGTCAATTTATGCACTTCAGACAGGTAAAAGTTGTTTTATTCAAGACAGACGCACAATGCAGACGTTGTAGAACTCGATCTACGTACGTGCTCGCATAGTACGACATAAACCATACGTGTATAAAGGTTATGACAGGTACCTACTCAAAATTATACTGCATTAGTGCATTTCATGCAGGGAGACCCCTGAAATGAGGATCTCGGACGTTTGACCCCCGCGTAAGCATGGCCCGTCCCGATTCCTTTTTAATAAATAAGGGGACTATTTTATTTTAATAAGGGGACTCAAGTCATTTTACCAACGCTATTTGTTAGGCGTCACTCCACTGTAGCAACGCTTATGGCACTTGATTATGCCTCCATCACGTGAAGCCAAACAAGTGAGACATACGTTAGGGAGGTATATTAAATACATGGGGTAGGTATGTACGTGACTATAGACTATAGACTATAGATTTAGCTGCGGGTAATTCAACTAGGCTGATATAAATATGCTGACGGAGTACCTAACTAAGCTCGCCATGTATGCATGTCTTTCCAAATCCAGAATCGAAATGAGGAAATTTGGTCACGATATAAACGCCAATGGAGTATATCACTTCTTGCCTCTCAACGTACGTAGTAACAAGCCACTGGTATCATACAACAAATAGAAATCAATATCAATCACAAGGTACAATTACTTTAGGTAAGCTATAACTCATTTATTTACATCCCAGCTACTAGTCTGGGGAAATGTTACTATTTAACAGTAGATCTTTTAGTGAGAACCCAACTATGGGTCAACTCTTCGCGGCCTATCTTGATAATTACATATAAAGGATGACCTCAGTCAGTTTTGACGAACCGTATTCTAATATGCATTAATTTTTGCTTTTTCATAACCGAACGCGCTGATATACAAGAAATTCAACATGAGGCGCCTGCTAACCTTTTCCCGATGAATCGTACCCCATCATGGCCAGCACGAATATTACGTATTATACTCTGTCCCCGTGCCAGAGGGCACCGTGATCCATGGCGTTACCCTTCGCATCACTCACATACTCCTGCTTCACAGTTACGCGAGTGGTGCGTAGGATGCCCTGATCAAACTTGTCCTCTCTGAGCTGTTCCGTCGACTCCGATGGCTGGAGGTCCTTCAACGGTACACCATACTCGTCAATCTTCCTGTATGTATTCGTGTGGGTGTGGGTGTGATCCATGGTCGATGACACGGTGGGCTTATTCAAACTCCGCAGGTTGGTATTTTTTAACCCCACGACCGACCTCATCGCCCGGCGCATTTTGTCGAGAACGCCGTGGTCTTTTAAAATCTTTGGAGTCGAAGGCATGCATGCGATGATGAAACCGCATGTGAGTTCTGCAAAAGCCCAAAACATCACTGGTGCGAATTGGTACATGGCGTCGGCCTGGGATACAATAGCCACTTGCGTCGATACTCGGAAGATGGCCGAAATACAAGCCCTACACGATTGCAGATTAGTATGTGCATAAACAAATTCGTCGTCCCTATAACTTACAGGATACCAAGGGAAAAGAAGAAAGAAACACCAAGCTTCTTCTTGAGCGATAACTGCAAGTTCCAGATAACTCGCTGAGGAAGAATCAACATGACAACGTCGATGAAGAGATTAATTGAAGCAGACGCAAGACCGATAAGAAACTGGTTGTTGCAAGTTCCTGGGAGCGTCAAATCCCAAATCTTCTCGTACGGGAAGCAAATCAGGGATAATGCGATAGGCATCGAGATCAAAAGCGCGATATTTAATCCAATGAGCGCATAACAGCACCACATAAACGTATTTCGCGTACCGGCGGGAACAAGTACTCGCGTCCACTCGAACAAAATCGCCATCTTAATAAACGGAATCGTTATCGCATAGGCAATAGCAGCATAGTGCACATCCTGTTTCTATTAGCCTCCTCGAACAATCCAATTGCACGTCTCGAATCTTACAAACGAGTAGGGAATCATATCCTTAACGTGGATTTCCCATTGATGAACAAAGTATCCAGGGTGTTCTGTCAGTCGGAGCCCGAAAATTGTCCATAATATGAAGAAAACCTAGCTAAATGTTAGTGATGCCGCAAGGAAACTCGACGATAGTAGAGACTAACAAAAGCAAGTAAAATCATATCTGAATTAGTAGAGTAATGTCAGTAAAAGAATCCTACGCAGCCGCAAAATGTCGACTTGGAGAACATACAATCTTCCATCTTTAAGTTCTTGAATAGGAAAATTCTCGCATAGAACCGAATTATCATGCAAAGGCTCGAAACGGCGGCGCAGGCGCCGATGACACCGTAGGCCAGAGAGTTGTTATTCCCAGGGTGGTCGAAGTTAGGTACAACGCCATCCGGGGCTGGTAAGGCTGGCGAATTAAGAGCCGCCTGTTGCTGGTCTGGTGGGAGATAGGGTATTACGTCCGCCATCGTTGATTTGTTGTGAAGAGTTGCGTGTCGTCTACTTCATGCCAGACGAAGGTATTCAGTGGGTTTACGAGTATATAAAAGAGTCCAATGGTCAAGATCGAATAAGGGGGAGTGGAATCGTAGATAGAGTATGAGATCCTTGATAGTGACAAGGGGTTTGGTGGAAAGGAAAAACCCCCTTGTTACACACAGACTCTTTGCAACGAGAACTCTTATGCCAAACTCATGATCCAAAAATCATTCCCCAGAAGCCCTTGTCCAGCGGGACTCGTTCCCGTTAATTCCCAGGCATGGATCGGTTTCTAGTGCTTATTCTACCCCTTGTTGCCCGTGTATTAGGAAACACTCTCTCGCCACGTCCCCGCTAAAACTGTATAAATCTGAGGCTTTAACAGGTTGAACGCTATAAGATAGTCGCTATAAGAAACAGGGTCTGGATGCAGGTTAGTGACATTATAGTGGATCATTAATAAAAAGATAAAAAAGGCCGATGCATCAACGGTACAGGTAAATTATTTTATACCTCCATGTAACGTTGGGGACATAAAACTTGCATAAAGCCCATTTAAAATAAGAATGAGGCAAAGCAGTATGAAAATAATAATAGAAAAATACCACAGCCTCTATAGAAAAATACCAAATTATAATTAAACTAACAGTGTGCCACTTTTGTAAGACTACCGATTATACGTCATAAACAAAATGATAGAATTATTACGTCTACCAAAGCCTCGTCACGTAACCCTAGGCTTACCCTAGGTAGAGGTTTTATCGCATTGTATTGTCAGATACCTATTTCGACGTTATGCACCGATCACAACAAATGTGACCACCCACAGAATTCTATACTACCCATGCAAGTATTCGGAGTCCCAAGCCAGCAAGCCAGGTATCCAAGCCATCCTAATCATTTAAAACGTCGGGCAACCGGCTGATTAACTCATGACTTACAGTAGTGGGTCGGTGATTTAACATATACCACGAAATAAATACACTAGGACCTATTTACTTACCTATCACGTCGATCCGGGGATTAGCCCAGACACGTAGGCAAATGGCGGAGAGATAAAGAGGGAAAAAATAGGGCTTTAGTGAAAAAAACGCCACGCAGTGTTTTCAAAAGCCTGACTTAAAATAGGTCGAATTCTTTACTAACAATATGCTTGTATGTTTCTAGGGCTTCCGAAGCACATTCAACTTCAGACGAAGACGATCTTATTACAGGGAGAGAAATTAAGGCTTTAAGTTTTTATGCATATAATCTTGGAGACCCTGCGCCTGTCATATCTCGGTTTTACATAGTTGGCTTTACCCGATACCAAGGTCTACAAGCAGAGTGATTCGGCCATCTCCAGAATGAGGTGGCTTTGTTTACATGGAAGGGGAACCAGCGCACAGGTACACTTACTTCCCCCATAGCGTGCTCGGAGGCAAATAAGCTGATGGTACCTGAAAGATTTTTGAGATGCAGACGGGTATCTTCCTTTGTCCTCCCCCATCCCCGACGGATTTCGCTCTATACCTGGGAATAACCGCTATCTAGTAAGGATCAGGGAGGCTCTCGGCCGGGATCACGAATTCGTGTTTGTTAACGGCACGGTCTCAACCGAACCCGACGTCGGTAAGTCCTCCCGTGATGTAGTATATCTCCCCGCGGGAAAAGGCTCACCAGTAGCGAGGTGCCGATGCGATCGCCGACGAGTTTTTCGGCTATGTCGCCCATGATGCAGACCAAGATCGAGAACTCTGTGACAACATGATCGAGTTCGTCGAGAGCCAAGGACCGTTTGATGGGTTTATGGGATTTTCCGAAGGCGGTACTGTGGCCGCGATGATGCTTGTAGAAGACGCCAGGCATGGTTCGTTTGGTGGTATCAAATGCGCCGTGTTTTTCTGCGCCGCTTTACCATTCGATCCCGACCAGGCCCGAACTGGCGTAATCCGATATATCGATCCCGACACGGATGGGGTTCTCCTGACGATTCCGACTGCTCATATCTGGGCCCAAACTGCCGGGGCACATGAGATTAAAGTTCATCAGTCTCTGACCCAAATCTGTGATGATAGAGTCAGGGAAGTATTTCTTCACGACCTGGGTCACGATGTGCCGGGGGCAAAATCGGACAAGGGGTTAGCTGGAGCTGTCCGAGCCATTGAACACGTGATTGAGAATGCTATGGACAGTACCAGATAATATGTAGTGCCGGATGAACAATATGTATTGAGTAGGCCAAGTATGGAGTCTATGTATGTATGTATGTATGTAGGTACGTATGTAGTATACGAGGCACCCACATGAATGCAACTCATAATGACTATAGGTACCTAATGTAATAAAATTCTACCGCTGGTTCCATTGTTCCAAGGATTGCAGCTTTTGAAACCTCAAGGCAGGGGATCTACTCCTTAACCACGTCTGCGGAATAGGTGAAATACCCGCTCTCCCACCTCAGTCCCGCTCGCTTCTGACTTGGCTATGTACAAACCTTGCGAATGCATCCTCGCATCCTTGAATATTTGGGTCGCTACCATAAATGCCATAGAGATTCAATGGGATTTTAATATGCACTCGTCCGAGTTCCTTACATTGGGAGCCCTCGGTTAAGCTAGTGTATCATCGCTTTTACTAGCTTACTGCTCTACCTGTTTACTCGTCTACCATCCTCCTAAATAAGTAATTGACTGGATAATCAGATATTCTATCAGATTTATAGCTTATGCGATGGTGTGAAATACGACAGAACGAAATTTTCGAGACGCGAACCGACGTCTCCACCTATGTCGATTATCAACAACACTATCACCAGATTCACTTCGCGCTTTGGCGTCAATATTTTAGCAATCATATGCACGACTACCCAAGTGTGATGGCACAGTGTTCATTTCATATCGTCCAGGTTGATAAATCTGACCATAGAGTTAGATAGAGAAATAATCACGAAATAATGAATGAGTGATATCATAGACCGAAGCTTATAAGCCATACAACTCAAGCTAACTAGGTACCTACCTAACCTACTATGTATACTATTCCCCCTTTTCCAAAGTGTGAAAACATCGGTACAACTATAGACCAAGACACCAATCGATATATATCTGGAGATCTCTAGCATTAATCTCAAAATACTCGTAACATTCAAGATAGAGGCACTAGAGAAACAATATCAACCTTGCCCTAGGTTTGAGAATTAATCCCAGAAAGCAAAACTTCGTACTCCCTAGTCCAGACCATTACCATTCAATCGGCTGTGATCATGTCTTCGAATCAGACTAGAAAGGATAATCAAGACCCCAAACAAATTTTCATCCAGGTCAAATACCTTGTTGCAACTATTAAAATGGGTAGCGTAGATACCGTTTGGTGACAAGAAAAAAAAAGGAGTTTTCTTGTCCAATATCCCAACTCATTTTAAAACATCTTACCTTCAGTCTCTAACCTGAGAGACACGCAATTGTCGTCTCGGCTTTTCAAGCTTAACTTCAGGCGGACCGAGTCTGAACATTCCTTTCCGTCACTATGCCCCAAGGCGACAAGTCATTTTATTAGCCCACAGACCACTACGCATCTATTATCAGACGGCCTTCCATTTTCGGCTAGGACATGGAAGTCCGTCTGTTATACATGTTTCATCGCCCTGGAAGCGACCGATGCCTTTAAAGTTGACAACTCTTCTCTGCCGAGACACTACTCCTTCCACCGGTTATGCTTCTACATATGCACTCCATTATTCCATTATCCGAGAACAAGGTCCCGAAACTCGAAAATACGCCGCCCCTATCGATGGTACCTGGATCCCCGCGATACGTTCTCGGCTCTTCTATGACGATACTAGTATCGCGCAAATATACCCACAATCTAGATCCTGCCAAACCCTTGCGGACCAAGGCGATCTAGGTACATATTACACTACATATACGATGGCAAAGACACTGTCACGTGAAATTAGCAGGATGCAGAGAACAATCAAAGATTCTCCCCAGTAAATGATCCTGCATATTCGACTACCTAACGCCGCAGTAAGTTCGGCGATACCATTTTCGTCTTACCTATTACGGCAACGGCTTACTTAACAGCATGGTAGAGACGGTAACAACCCGATCAATCCTTGTTCTGTCAACATCAGATCTAAGCGGTCAAAAAATTTAAGACCTTCGAGAACACGACAAAGACCCTGCAATGATCTATCTTTTGCAGGCATTTGGAATGAGAAAGCCGGCAAACAGTGAGCGGTATAGCCAACACTGTGGTAAGGATAATTCAGCACGATACATGGTGCTTAAATTACAGAGTTGAGTTTACATATTTTAAAAGAACAATGCCAAACTAACGGGCACGAGATCGTATACCAATGTAGTATTCTAGACTAGGAAGTCCAAGTGCTTGGAATGAAGGTACCAAAGCTCTTGAATATTATAGGGTTCAAGTGTAAGTAGTTAGTTGATCATTTCCAAAGCAGAGGTTGGGGGATTCAACTAGCACATGAATAGACATAAGAACATTGTTAACCACTAACAGAACTACTAACCTAAACTACGCCATCTCAAAAGTCCGATTTTCTAATAGTTCGGGTATATCATCTATCCTTAACCTTAAAGTATATGAATAAGATACGAAATAATTAAATGGAAATCCCTAGCCGGAACAAAGTGAACAAAGGGCAATAGAAAACCAGGTAGTAATATGTATTTCGGCACGCGTTTGCCATCTTCTTGATCTTCATTGCCAAGTCCTTAATAATCCTTCTCCATAAGTTCCAACGTTATCCTATTATGATCAAGGGATATGATGTTAAACACATGATACTAATGCAGCTTAACGTAAAGTAAGTACACCAACAAATGCCAGAAGGGAGAAAAAAACGTAGAACTATTGCAATTGTTACGCCTCGTGCATTGAAGATCACATGCTTTAGCCAATACCCACTCCTTATAGGATGATTGTAGTTACTGCATATGCTGCAAGATACCAAGCATTCTAGACCTAGCTAATTACCAGGGAACTCGAATATCAAAGGTCTTTGGGGCTCCGTTTTATCATGACGCATATGCATAGACCGTTTGTAAACCGTTTATGCATACAATTTTAGAACGGAGTTTTAGTAACGAGTACATAGTAGTAATACTCATTGGTATTAGATAAAAATAATAAATTTTATCTTGAGCATAACCCAGTTCAGCCGACATCACACGTCAATAACACCACAGTACCTTCAGACGCGCGGCCCGTTGTGTGTATATCTAACACAGCCTACGAAGCATTCTATTTGTAGGTAGATGCTTGCAAAACCCTTAGTCATGAGGGGAACCATTAGGGAAAGTGTTGAAGGCATCAAGCAGCTATCACCATTGAGTGCTAGAGATAGTTCCAAAAATAATAATAGCGAGTACTTCCAGCAAGGATAAACCAAGTAGATTCATTGTAGTTGATCCAAGCTAACCCTAATCATCTATTCTTACTGGCATTGCTACATAACTATCTCCAGATATTGAGTCTAAGCTAGATCTAGAACTCTAACATCGTATACTGTACCAGTTGATATATTCAAACCCTCGATGTTTCGACTGCCGCAATCGCTTCCGTGCCCATAAGAATAGAATCACCAAACCAAGCTTAGGTTCTTACTGCATAATCGACCGTGTCATATGTGGGGTACCCACATGTATATAAAGCTAGATCCTCCCTCCTGTAACTTAGCCATTACAACATCAACATCAAATACATACAATATTGTAATAATTGGTAGCACCTCAAGCAATACGATCAGAGGCTTTATTATTCTTGGCATCATACAAGAATTACCTCTAGGCTATTCTTGGAAACCATACAAGAATTGTTTTTCGGAAACCATACGAAAAATCACCACCAGGCTTTGTCTCCGGACCCATACGAGGCATTGTTCTCAAAAGAGAATCACCACCAGGCCATTATGGCCACCATTGGCTTTGTCCCTTATAAGGCATTGTTCTCGAAAGAGAATCACCACCAGGCATTGTTCTCGAAAAACGAGAATCACCACCAGGCCATTATGGCCACCATTTCGAATGAACCCTAATCTTCCATCGACCTCTTTTCCGTGTCGGACCAAATGCCACACCACACGCTTCAACGCTCACGATCAGGACCATCCATGTCCAACAATTCTACGTACTCATTCCGCCCGTCTACTATAACGAGACCCTTATCTGCCCTGGGAAGAAAATCTCATTCCCCAGACCAGCAGGATACCTTGAAAACATGAGTTGGAAGGCATGAATTAGGACATATTTTAGAGTTTTGCAGAAGTAAGCAGCTCTTACGATGAGGGCATCGTTATTTCTTTTTGGTGGTGGCATTGTCATATGTGGGGTACCCACATGTATATAAAGCTAGATCCTCCCTCCTGTAACTTAGCCATTACAACATCAACATCAAATACATACAATATTGTAATAGACCGTCTCCTTGGCATCAATGAGCTAAGAACGGCGGTAATCAATACCCCGAGCTTTTATGACTTAGCTAGGCCTCGGCTTAGCCAAGAGAACTGTTTAAGCTTGTTGTAGTTTAGCTACCTCTACTGCGTACCTTAAATTATATGTGCCATATCACCGGCGCGAATTCCGAGCAATCCGGGTTCTAGCAAGGCTGGGCAGACCCGAAGCGCAAGGGGCTGATTACCCAAGAGTCTGGGTAACCAGGAGACACCGCACAGGCCGCGACGCAGATGGGTCCATATATGGACCCGAATAGCATCAAGATACTTGGTATCCAATCAATACTAAGAATTCCGATTCGCAATGGTCCAATACTATGTAACCGTATTTAGTGGAAACTCTCCCGGTCGGTCAATGTGTAATACCCTTATCTCTCGGGCTGCGCCGCATAATATCCCTTCTAAAATGACCGGTGCTCGGTCCTCTTACTCTATATCGACGGCACGAGTAAAAGGCTCTGGGCAAAGGAAAAAGGAGTTTAGATATTCGTACAATTTCCCTTCGCGACTAGTAAGTTGAGCTGCTACATTCCAAGAATCTCAGACCGCTCTGATGCTCCTAGCTTACTTAGCTACTCTAATTACCATTTGATTCAGAGTTGATAACCCGGTACGCTATGTGCATTCGAAGGTCGCTTGAACAGCTCGACGAGAACCCTAATAGCCGTGTTCCATACTCAAATTTGCTTGGGGGAGCCGGCAAAGGCGAATAGAATGGTACCACGTGCATGGTTGGGTTGAACTACAGGATATATTAGGTATCTTAACAGCAATTCGGCGTCGTAGCGCTGCACATCATGTCCTTCAGAAAGCACTCGACGACGAGTCTTTCCACATTGTCTCACCGTTTAATGCGCCAACGCAGCAGCCCATCCATATATTATGACTTCTTAGCCAACTCACGATTCAACAGGCTTCCGATTCTCACGACGAAACGTACCTCCGTCAATGTTGCAAATCGTGCTTAAATGGTAATAGTGGCACTCCGACCATCTCATCCTAGACTGAAAGGGTTTAACGTAGGGAAGCGTTAGCAAGTGGATTATGGAGACCTCGAATATGATTGAACAGAGTGACCCCCACGAGATAACTTATCTCGGCATAAGGGAAAGGAAAGGGAACTAGGAAAAAGATTGAACTCGAAAGTCGACGTTCTTTGTTAATGTTGGATTAGTTGAATTGTATGTAATTACGTCATAGCAAAAAGGAGGAGGAAAAAGAAAAGTTGCCAGTGTTGGGATGTAATTACGTAAGGATAGTCACGTGGCAACACGTGACTATTCCCCACACAAAAGGCAATTCTTTTTAGGTAGCACCCACACACACAATTTATCATCAGTGCAACAACAGTCATCGTGATAGCCTCGTTTCGTATTGTGTTTCATTTCCTTATTTGGTGTACACCACCACCCATACCTTGTCATACCAACAGTTAACTTAGCTATAAAATATCAATTGCAAGTGTCTACAATATTCAGTTTAATTATTATTCCATATTTATCAATAAATACAATTTTTATTAAATCAATTGTTATCTTGCTTAGTATATTATCTACCCATGATTATTAAATATGGTCCAGGCGCCATGAGCTAGGTATTTACATTGTGATTGTATATACCTAACCGTTATGGTTGAAAGCTCAGCATAAGCAGCTCACTTCTCCACCCCTTCAGATATATTAAGAAGTGTGTGAGGTACGGGAAATACCTGGAAGGTCGGTATCGTAGAAAGTTGTCTCCGAAACATGATAGGGGTATTCAAAGATGGTGTAGTCCGGTCACGAAGTAGAAGACCTCCGATCGCCATTTTCAGGATAATGTTAGTTCTACGTCAAAATGCCTATAACAGGTACCTAAACACCTCATACACCGCAAGGGCATCAGAGAAGTATTTCAGACCCTCAAGCTCCCAAAGCGGATCGAGTCATATACCACTACGTAGGTCCCACGCCAGCTGAACGAGACGCCCATCTGCTCCGACAGATTGAACATCTTCATCTCCCCGAATACCGACTTCAGACACTATCCCCAGACAGACAGGATATCAATCAAGACAAGAAAGTCGACAAAGGTAAACAAGTCGAAAAGCCTCTTCGAGAAATTTCTCAGCCATCCTCTCTCATCGACTTGATAATACCACTGACAAGTCCCAAAGCTATTGAGCCACCTACACAACAACCTATGAAGTACCTAAGTACCCATTCAGGCCAATAACCAAGTATTTTGGTCTTGAATTGGTTCACTTCAGATCGTTTAATACCTAGTATAGAGACCAGGAAATGTGCTAACCCCAGGCCCACCTACATGGTTGGCCATTACGTGAGTAATTTCTCCGGGAAAGAAGCTTTGTGGGCATTCATTCTATTCAAAATGATACAATGCTCTGCAGCGAAGTAAGGAATACGGACAAATCGTAACTAGTACATGCTATACAATGTCTTCTTCGATAAGCTCCGAACAACTGCTAAAATATAACTAATGTAAGATAGCGAGTAGGGATATATATTACTTATCTCCCAAACAAACCATAAACCCAGGTATTACCTAGTCTAAGACATTATTTCTTTAAAGCCCGCTTTTCCAGAGGTCTCGGTAGTCCAGGGGTCTCAAGAGGTTGAGCAAGCCTATGGTGTTTTTGCTCCGTTTTGATTAGGTACCTAGATATCATATGTAGATAGTGCTTAGAGAACTTTGATAGCCGTCATGAACGAATACTTCAACATACCTAATCAATGGACCTCACTAATATGCACGTAGGACGTACTGCTAACCCGAGCCACTTGGTGAGCTTTCATTCAGCTGGTACCTATATAGCAAATTCATGATTATTAACATTAAGTCAATACGCCATCTTCATCTCATGGCGAAATATGCATACAAGACGAGCTAATCCCCAGACCAGTTGCTAGTTACCTAGGTAGGTAGCTTAGATCCGAAGGCTACTAGAATGACTGGCTTAAGGGCTGGCCTATACAAATATAGGATATAAATACAGACTAATATAAGAAACTGTGTCAGGGTGGAGAGGGGGTTAAAAAGAGTTAAACTTTTGTTTTATCCTTAAACCCCCGTAACCCGTAGTATAATACCCAAGTCACAGGCTTCCACCCTCCTATCTCACACTGAGTTCTGCTCAAATTACTGTGTCGTGACTTATCGACAATAGACTGGCTGTGAAGGAATCCAGATTGCGCGATTGCTGATATATACCTATGTGTGACTTTTCTTTCTCTCTATAGTGGTCTAGAGATAGATATCCTCTTCGTATAGCATCTCGTCCTAATAGACGTATTACAGGTTATCAATTGAAGAATTTGTTTCGCAAAAATGGTTTACCTAATTTAGTTTGGTATTTAATTAATTAATTCAATCATGCCTTGTGTTAACCGGCGGACCTAAGACAGTAGGTAAAATGTTATAACTACCTCCTATGGATAGAAAATAATACATTTTTTACTGAAGTTTATCCAAAACTCGTGACATGCACAAGCACTGAACTTACCTCTCTATACGTACCTGAGGTAAGCGTCAAAACGGATAATTATATTCATGACTTCCTGGATAATGCTTTGTTCTTTGTCGTATATATTAGCTGTTACACTTATTCGGGCTGACTGCCCACCTGTTAAAACACGTGACTCGGGAAACATTGCGCAAATAACGGTTTGAACGAAGCATTGTTTGTGTTGACTTTTTATAATAAAAAGTTTGTTATTGGAAAGATATCAAAAACTCTATAAGGGATTTACTTATTAAAGTGGCCTTGGTTACTTGAAAGTACTTGCTTAATATAACAACTTAAATACATACTTGCCCTTTATGTATTTTTTTATTTTTTTTAACGCAACCCCGCCTCAAAAACTTCAAGAAAACCCCTTCAACCTCGACAATGGCTACAATCCAAATACTTTCCGACCTTCATTTGGAGGCTTATAATACTTACGACAACTTCGAGATCACTCCTCATGCGCCATATCTCGCTTTGCTGGGTGATATCGGTTGCGTCAAGAAGCATGAAGAACATTTTCTCGCTTTTTTGAGAAGACAGCTCGCCAATTTTCGCGTCGTATTCTTCCTGTTGGGTAACCATGAGCCTTATTATTCAAGCTGGGACTATACCAAGCAGACTATGCTCCGTTTCGAACAGCAAGTACACCAGGAGCGAGAAGCGCAGTCTTGTATTGGCGAATTCGTCTTTCTTGACAAGAGAAGATATGATATCGACAATAATGGAACAAGTCTGACAATTTTGGGTTGCACACTTTTCTCTAAGGTCCCCTCAGATTCCATAGATGACGTCAGCTTTGGCTTAAACGACTTCTACCATATCGAGAACTGGACGGTTGAACAACATAGCGCGGAGCACGATGGCGAGTTAGAATGGTTGAACAATCGTGTAGAAGAACTACAGGGTTCTGGGAGAAAAATCGCCATATTCACACATCACAGTCCGACACGAGATGAAAGGAGCGTAGAAGCACAACACCGCCAGAGCAAAAGGACCGCCGGGTTCTCTACCGATCTCAGCGATCAGCATTGCTGGCGTAGTAACGACGTAAAACTCTGGGCATTTGGGCATACCCATTACAACTGCGACTATGTAGACACGAAGACTAACAAGAGGGTTTACACAAACCAGAAAGGGTACTTCGGTGGTTCTGACGGGTTTAATGTTAACAGAGTAATTTGTTTATGAGTTTCTATTATAGAAATGGGAGCATAGACAATATCCAGCAAATCAATATCCAAAGTTAAACCTAAATACAGTAATGTACATGCGCAATATCCGCTATTCGATCAAGATTATGTGAATACATGGCAACGTTAAACAATCTCATCAGTAGTAAGAGTACCTTGATTCTCTCCCACCCGATCCACGGGATGAGCCACCACCATAAGAACCCCCACCAGAGGTTTGGCCAGCAGATTCCGAAGTACTGTTAGAGGGCGTCACAAGACCGAGCCTTGTCATCCACCAGTCCCTGTTTTTATCAGTTTGTCGAATGACGTCGGGCAAGCCTCCTTGAACAGGATTTAGCTGATGAGGTGCAAGTATCAGGGGTCCATGAGACTTGGTCACTTCATTCAGGAGGTTTTCCGCGTCAGCGGCGTCGCGACGACTTTTAGTGGGGTCACCACGGAGGCCGCATGAGAATATCTTAGAGACTATGAGGTCGCTCGGCGTGATGTAAGGAATCGTTCCCTCAGGAATATCCTTAACCCTTTGGGCAGTTGGTGGGAAATAGGCAGCCTATATAGTAGTTAAAATCGGCAAGTCCACATTATTGGTTATATTGATTAATTTTTGGGCAATGATAATTACCTGGAAATGTCCAACGAAGTCTATTTGAATCAGCCTGTCGTTGGGAGTTTTATAATAAAACCACTGGGCATATTCAACGAATGGAGAGTTATTTAGTGCCAGTAGTCTCGGCTTGATACTCTTCGGTCCGTCTAAGGTTATGATAAAATCAACGTCCTATGAATGGGTGAGTTGCTTTCGATCATAGTGTGAATATTTGCAAATCATCATCTGACCTCGGTAGAGCGTCCCCTAGGCAAGTATTTCCATAAAGCCATCCCGCCAATCACGGCTATATGCTGCTCTGATAACCCGGGAACGGTCTTCATGATTCGAATTACATCTCTTGCTGCGGCCTCCAGCTCGGCTAAAGATGGTGACATTCTGCCTTAGATGCTGTAGATGATATGGTTAATCGCAATATAATGAAATAAATAGTAATAAATCGTTTAGATGAGACTGTGAGATGCTGGAATGAAGAAAAAAAACCCCAATTTCTTGTAGGCCGAGTCGCCATTTAATAATGGCTACAGTAGATCGAATACATCTGTATTTAGTAGATGTTGACTGGGATTTTGCAAGATAGGGCCGGCCATACGGCCTCGAAGCGCTACGAGTTTGCATCAGGGAACCAACATGTCCATGGTCGAGGATATCAGGTTAGCTCTCCAAACTATAGTGACTCGTAACTGGCCAACAGCCGTTCTGTACGGCGGCACGAAAGATCGACAGCCTTCAATTCTCAAAAGGGAGACTTGCATGAAATTCCGACAGTTTGGTAGCTGTATATTTAGGGAATACTTTCACAAGGGAAGCAAGATCACCACTGGCGGGCGAACGGGATTGCGGAACCAGGCGCGTAAATCTTCGCTAATGCGGAAAGCGTCTAGGGGCTGCGCGTCGAGGCGCGGGGGACCCATGGTGATACTGTTAACCATAGGAATAATATCACAATCCCTTATTTTTCGGGGTTGTAAAATGATTGGCTCTGCAGATGCGAAAATAAATACGGCGTGTAAGGAATGATAATGTAGACTAAACTGCTGGAAACATTTAACAATATCAGACCACGAAGTCCAGGTTATAGCCGCGTACGCCAAGCGCGAGAGAGCGAATTCTCCGACGTATCTGATACGATCTAGGGCTATGTCGGCTGGGCCAAAATGAACGATGGCTGTGCCAAAATTGATCCAGCAACCAATGTTCTGACGTTGCTTGCGTTGGCTATGTGGCGGCCAAGGTACATTGAGAAAGGTCTTCTGCATCAAGAACTTGGATTCTTGGCATACTTGCCCTATGGTCGAGGGATCCCATCCTAGGGAGCGCAATCTATCTTTCTTGGAGTGTTTGGAGAATAGGACGATGTACCAATCGGTCATCGCCATGCGCCATATCTCGTGGCGAAGCTCTGCGGGGAGGTAGGGAAATAGGTGAAACGTAGATTGACTAGATTGACAGTCCATCACCCTGAACTGATACTAGAAGCGCTGGAATAAGTTTTGGGTTCAATAATCAACGAATGCGATTCGACCATTTGGGTGTTGGTTGTGTTCAAGCTTAAGTTGGGGCAGGGAAAACGTGTGAGCTGCATGTTTGGGGTAAAGCGCGCGGCAACCTTAGGTACCTCTTAGGTAACCTAGTCCGGATCATAGACGCTAGGATCATGTGTTAATAAGGAACTCTGGGTAATTTTCTTACCCAGTATGATATATCATTATTTCTATTCTTTCTTTCTCCAAGGGCACCAACAGCCTTAGAAGCCTATCGGTTTATCTTCTTTAAAAGGAGTGTTAATGAGTTACGTATTAATTTATTCGTGTAATATGAGTTCAGTCCGCACTAATCTGTGTAGATATATTCGAGGTCCCGACAGTCTTTCTCAACGTTCCTCTTTAGTGTTCTAGTTCATATACACGACTTATTCAACTCTGAGCGTCAAACCTTTTATGCCTTTTCGTTGGCACACATTCTAGCCATGGTTCAACTAGAAGTAGATGCACTTGATGAAGACTTCGTCAAGTCTATCTCTCAATTATTATCGGATGCTGGCGTACCTTCAGTTCTATGGGGTGATTATCTCCTAACTGTGTACGGAGTACCGTCTATCATCGGGGTATAACTTGACCATCTATATTCGATTAATGTGATGATTGACACTAACTGGGCGTAGGGAATAGAGTTCGTTGTCCCGGATGAAAAAGTCTCAGCCGCCGTAGCCGCGCTGAAAGGATCCAATCTGAAAAGATGTCCGGACCCTAGATCATGTGTTGTATCTAGGGAGCATACACAACAACCAGCCCCATCTTTCCATATGCATCTTGGAACGTCGGAGGTGGATGTTTCTATACGAACGCATTCTGAAACCCTATGGTTTATTCCACCTCCTCCTCAAGATATATTCAGCAATGCTAGGCCACAAGCTTCGCGCTACATCTTCGCTTCTGACGACTCTATCCTCCCACGTCCTAGACATGGCAGGGGTCACGGTGCCTTCTCAAAAGAGGGATTTCCTGTTGTCGTCCCGACTGCACACACAATTCTTGAGGCGTATATGCGCCTATCTATTGCGCATCGGGAACAATATAGCGGCTTTTACCTCGGCATGATGACATACGTTGCAGAGTACATCGATGCGGACGGACTCTTGGACGATACACAGCTGCCGGAATCATGCCGCAAATTCTGGCATGATTTCAAAGACGGCCAGCGACAAACTAGGGAAATGATGAATGAACTCCAGGACTATTTTGACAAGGAGAGCGCGGAAAAAAGACGTGGTGGCCGGTGGTCAATCACAAGACTTATAACTTCTTGGTTTGGCATTAATGACGGAAAATAAGTATATTTTCGAGTACCTAAGTCTAAAACATTATCACTAGCTTGTAATAGTCTATATCAGAGTAATATATATTAATATTTTCCACAGTGCCACACATTAACGCGCTTACGAGCTGACAGTCGGAGGAGCACAGTCGAAAATGGAAGCCGTGAAGTTCCTCGGTCCGGTGTAGTGCTGAGTGCTCACCGCACCGTTGTTCTGTGTAGTGATCTGGCTGGTGGGGATGGTGTGGCAGTAGGTGATGTTGGAGCGCGCGTTAAAGGGGTACCAGATGGCGAAGTCGATGCTGCCATCTGGAGCCTTGGTCGTCGACCACGTGTAAGCCGTGTTGTTGCACTTGCCCTCCGTGATCTCGGGCAAGACGTCAGGGCCTTGCACGAAAGCACTGCATGAATCCAGGGGGAAGATGGGATCGGTGATAACGTTGAAGTTATAACTGGATTCGAGTAAGTTAGTACTTCCTATCATGTTGCAAAGGTATCTGGAAGTGTGATAAACACTTACGCGCAGTATGTGCTATGGGGAATGCAGTCGGCTGCGAAGTTGACAATGCCGTAGTTTTGGGCTTGACGCCTCTGCACAGAAGCAGCCAAAGCAGTGGTAGCAAAAGCGAGGACAGCGGAGACCTTCATGTTGCCTGATGTTGATAGGAACGAAAGTATGGTGTTAAAACGAGAGTGTGGTAAGCGATGAACTTCTACGTCTGTAGTCGAGATTTAATATCAAGTGTGACTGGTGATGAACATAAGATGAATAGTCTTGACGTCGCTGGTAGGGAGCGCATTATATATTTATTTCCAGTTCCCCATAGATGTCGACCGTAAATATCACGACTCGGTCCAGCCCAGCCGACTCGCCCCATATGTTCCTTGATATCCGCCACGGTTACATTGCATCCACCAATAGTAGAGCGCGCTTGGTCGATCTTTTCGTATTCTACTTATTAGGGCAGTCAATTTCTTAGGATAACCACAGGGGCGCATAACCAGCCTTTAGCCCAACGACGTCATATTCCAGCACGTTCCTGAAAGCCGCCCCATTGTTAGAAGCAACTAGACACGGAAAACATCACCACCAAACCCTTCTCGCATTGGCAGCCCACGACGCCCTATCTTGATGTCGTAGAACGGCGCCAAAATAAGTGCCTAACAAAGGGAATACCTTTTTGAAAGAATTTTCTCGGGATATATCGAGTAGAAGAAATATAAAAAATCTCATTAATATGAAATAGACTCTAGATTTCATTCTGATATAAGTTATGAAGATATAATCGAGGATTTCGCCGAGTTATGTGGATAAAAAAGTGAGCCTTTTGGTATGTCACCACTTACAAAATCGGCACTTTTTTGACGCCCTATATTAACGTCTCTACACCGACATTCGCCCCATTTTCATCTACGGCTAGATCATCTTGAAGGGCATGCTCTAATATAATAACAGTTTCAATCACTTTCAAATAGTACTGTAAGATTATACAAAATTTGTATTTAATGTAGATACAACAAAGCTCTTAAACACGTCATGACACGTTATCTCCCTAGAAGTATTCGCTGTGCAAGATCACGAGCGAACAGACGTGGATTCACCACCCTACTTTAACCCCAAGCGACATCACTTATGTGTGGCCGATAAGACCCTGCTGAGGAGCGTTATCGGGGTTGATGTCAACACCAGCAAAGCCAAGAGCCTCGTTCCAGGCGTTAGCCGTAGAGGCATCCTTAGCACCAGAACCCAGGTCGGCCTGAGCTTTCCTGCAGGCGGTAACGGCATCGGCAGCAGCGTTGCAGACGTTGACGAGCTGGTCGCAGATGCGGTTGAAGATGATGTTGGGGTTGACTAAGACGAGAAAGGTTAGTATTTTGTAAAGTAATAAATTCTATGAGGGGAGAGAAACTTACGAGCTTCCTGCTGGCCCTTGTTAACAACGGGGTCCTGAGCCTGGAAAGTGAACTCGCCCGCCTTGCGGCCGTTGAGGGACTCCTCAAACTTGACGGTAGGCGTGCAAGTACCGAAGTCGAGGCCAAGGCTTGAAGCTTGGAAACCGGGGAAGTTGCCAGTAGCAGCGTTAGTAACGGCACCGGCACCTGCTTGACTGGATGCACCACCGTTGTTGGCGTTGTTGTTGTTACCGTTGTTGTTGGAAGCAGCAGTAGAGGTGGCAGCAGCGGCAGTAGTAGTCGTCTTGCTCTTTGATTTGACGCACTTAGTAGCAGTAGCAGTAGCAGTTGCCGAAGGGGCGGCGGTAGTAGCTGAGCTAGAACTGGCGTTGTTATTATTACCATTGTTGCTGTTGTTGTTTCCATTGTTGGCATTGCTACTGGCAGCAGCTCCTTTCACTGTGAAGTTGGAAAAGCCCTGGGCAGTCATAACCTCGGCAACACTGAGACCGGTAGCGTCAAAGGGAGACTGTAGCGAAGTCTCCGAGTTGGCGTTCTCAACGTCCGAGCCTGTTACGGCAGGGTCGACTAGAGGAACAATACCACGGAGCTCTTCCGTGGCCGGTAGGCTGGCATCACCGCAGATGCTGGGTACTGACACTACGAACGGGTTGAAGTTCTGCTCAGAAGCAACGAGGTTCTGTGCTGCTGCGATGACCTGAGGGTCGTTGCCGAGAGTCGACACGATCTTGTCGGCGAGAGTGAGCTTGGCACATGGGTCAGCAGCGGCGAGGAGTACGCCCGGAACAGCACCAGCAAGAGTGGCAGCTTCACCCGGGTTGCCGAAGCTACCCAAAGCCTGGATACCACCGACGGGGATTTGTTCCTGGCTGAAACGGGCTTCGGCAACGGCTAACAGAGCCGAGATAAGTGTGGTCTTGGTATACATGATGACGGAGAAGAAGAACAGAGTTGGCGTCAAGCAACAGATTAGGTTTCTTTGAAAGGTATGGAAAGTTTATTGAATAGAACGAGTAAAGACCGACCGGGCGGTATAGCGAATAGAACGAAGGGAAGGTTGAGAGAACGAAAAGTTCACAGAACTGAAACGAATTGAATATCAAAGAAAGAACTGAAGCTTGATAGAGAGAAAAAAGAGAAGAACTCACGATGTGAAGCTGGGATAATGCAATTATATAGATGGCCCACGTGGATCGCTACAAGTCAACACCAGCGCGATCAGTTGGGATAGGCCAGTCTAGGCAGGCTTTGGCGAGCCCCTTCCGCAGATCAAACCTCATCTCAGGGTTGAGATCAGATGGTGAGCTAGCATGGTGCGGCAAGGATATGACCTCTCGTGGCAACCCTCTTCCGGCGGACGTTCATCCCATGTCAAGCGTCTCGTCGTGAAGAAGCGGAGGGTGCATGGAATATGCCGTGTCCCTCGAAATTGGTATAGAGACTACCTAGACATAAGATCCCTAAGTGTTTTTACCGCGGTATAGAGAAAATGCATTTTTTCCTGCATTGTTGAACACCATCTCTGAGATCCCATGGGCGGTTAGTGGAACTGTTGGCGGAAACAGATATGTCCCAGGGGATGCTTTGGAGCAATTTAGCCCTTGGCTGCGCGTGCGTCCATTCTACATAAATTGTCAGGGGTTAGTAAATACGGTTATGTATGAACGAAGCTCAATAGGTATCATATTGTTTTCATGTTTGTCTACAAGGTACGAGTATAGTAGTATTCAGTTATGGATTACTACGATGGAAAATCTTCAGGTGAGGCTCAATTGAGGCTCGGAGATCAGCAGTAGCTGGGTTCGGTGTATTTGTAGATCGCCAATCATGTTATTCATACTGATAGGTAGCACTAATATGGAAGCTTAGAAGGTAGGTAGGTAGCTGAGTCTTATGTTTCTTAATCAATCATAAAGAGCGCGGCTTATTCGCAAATTCGATGCAAATGCTCGCATGCCAATTCTCTCTGACGCTGTCTTCTCTTCTATTACCCTAAAGGGGCTCCATGTAGTGTTAAATTCAAGAAGGATTAGTAGCCACTCGGGACTCAACATCAGAGTAATCAGAGTACGAGCTTCACTAACCTTCTCGAATGTCGAGCTAGGTACGGCGACAGCTTGGCGCTTTGAAGGCCCACCATCTTCCTCTAAACGGCTGTCTCCGACGCTTTCTAACCCCCCTACCCTCGCTAAATATCCCTGCCAGAGAGTGATCAAACAGCTCCGTAAGGGGTTTTGAGACGACTTGCGAGACTCAGGGGGTTTTATCTCACCTCACTTTTCTTCTACCAAGTTGAACCTCTCTTGATAGCGGAAATTGCTACTACAATTGGTGCAGCACCGATTAAACGAAGCGTTCACAATGACTATTATCCACAGTTGGCTAATTGGTGGTCTAATTATTAGCTGTCTTCGTGAATCGTCTATGAGATAGCTTTGGGGGGCTGCCACTGATGGCGGTGTACGGTTACAAAATACCAGTCAATGATGGAATTACTCATGGATTATGTCTATCTCGACTTCTAGGCTGGCGCAATCGGCAGGAATAGAACCTTACTGATCGACTAATGGATTTTCGATGAGATCGAATATCATATGCTTGGAACACTGGGGAATACTCTCGCTGCGATTTTCACAAGGAGGTCCTCAGCTTGTCGATCTATGCAACTCATAGTAGCGGCATATCGGCTCGATTTTCCCTTCAATCGCGCTGATGCTTGTGTCAATCTATGATGAGCATCATGCGACGATCATTGATGTGGCAAGATGACCTGTCGGCTCTCGTTTCATCTGATCTCGTTAATTCTGCTCTTATGATTCAGGATCTTCGAGCCCAGCTTGACGGACCGCGCATTCCACTTAACCCGGGGGCAGCGGATCATAGAGGTTGATCTTATGAATCTCCTTGAAAGCTCCCGGGTTCCTTCATTGGACCCGAAGTTCCCGACGAACAGTTCCAAGTCGATGTCCAAGTCGATGGCATCGTACGCTAGCATAACGATTCAATCTTGACTAATTGAGCTCGGCCGGCGCTTCGCCAAACATTCCCTACTATACCTCCCGGGAATCCTTCCTTCCGGTCTGACACCTTGGTGCTCTTGAATGCTATTGCAGAAGTACCATGACGAGATAGCTGAAGGTTCATTGCGAAGGGACAAACAATCAATTATTTTGAATCTTAGGTGTTCCTACAGGCGATGTGGAATGCGTTGTGTCTTCGGCAATTGGCATCTAAGGTAACCCGTACGGTTACTAGATCTAGATGTAGTACCGTATCTCCTCTTCCGTTGGCCATCATCGTAGAAGTTTATTGTAACACTAGAGCGACTGACTTATTGATGCTATGTTACTAGGTTTTAACTAGTACCTATGAGCTACAATGGAGAGGTCAAATGCCTAAAGGTGAACTCTACATTCCAAATTAATTAGAATCACGCTAACAAGGTGTAGATAGATGATTGCTTTTCTTAAGCAGTTTATTGACTGGTCTGAAATGAGACCGAGTACACGGCCCCGATCACCCGAACTGCTTTGCGCTTCTTTCTTGTTGCTATTATATGGTTACTTTCCCTCTTCTCATGGTAGCGGATGGAGCGGTTAGACACTATTCAGATGCATTCGTGGCATCAAGCAGTACTTTCGACAAGCCCGTAACTCTCCTTAACGACGGGTAGTGGCAGATGTATAATCGGAATTTCCTCAACCCCACGAGGACCGATATTGGGACGTTTTTTGATCTCCGATTCTGGTTCGCCACTCTTTAACCGTCTAATTAGGTCCTCTGGATCGAAATCAACGCCGATGGGGTTCTCGACGAACTCGGGACCCATCATGGATTTGGTGGACTCCTCGACCGTGTCGAAATTATCTACTTGCGTCTCGAGTACATTGCCGTCAGGGTCCTGGTAGTACATACTCGTGGTTGGTCCGTGATTGACACACCAGACGGGTAGTATACCGTGGGCTTTGCGCTGCAGATAGGCCGTTGCGAGGTCATCTAACGTTTTGAAGGTGAATGCTATATGGTCCAGGCCAGCGCTCAGCCGAACCTTATCGTCCAAGCCAGGGATCGATACAATAGCGACACGATGATGCTCGCCGTCATAGGTCAAGAATGCTAGTGATTCACTCTCTGATACGACATGCGCACCTAGAAAGACCTTATAAAACTCAACCACGGGCTTGAACCGCCCCGTCCTAAGCACAACATGTGCTAGATGATCAGGCGAAAGGACTTTGCCAGACAGATTCGCTTCAGCCATGATGTAAGAAGTTGCGGAAGTCAAAGAGGACTTATTCAAACGTTGGATTCTAATTAAAAACAGCTATATCGAGTTTGAGCTAACGTTGATTGTTGTAGACGATATTGAGCAGTCCATCTACACGGGAAGACTTCGACCTCTTATACCATTACACATATTGCACATTGAATATAATATCTACAGAGCACTTATTAATACATCTTTATCACTGACTAATGCTGTTACAAATACGACAGCTGCACGCGTCTTCAAACGGGATGCAAGGAGTACGCCAACGATATAGAAAGGTAATACAACTTTGCGCCGTCGGCGCTGTGGGTGTCCGAAAAAGGTAATCTCCGAGCCGCGAGGGAGGGATGTAAATCGTAGCTAGTTCTCCCTTCTCCCCGCTCGTACACATCCACCTATGTTAGACCTTTATGTTAGACCTCTAGATCACCAAGACATCTAGGATATCTAGGACAAAGAGCCTGACGCCTCTAATCACCTCACTATAATGTCTCGGGTTTTGACGTTAGGACCAAAAGGCAACGAATGGAGCTATGACAAAGATGCCAAGATCTACAACCTGACTCGCGGATCATCGCCGTCGGCGTTTACCCTCCGCACGACTAAGGGTCCTACGGATACATCGATCACGCTGGCGCCGAGTCTGAGCGCTCTAGTTGTGGTTGACATGCAAAACTATTTCCTTCATCCAAGTTGCAATAATCACCCCACTGGTCTGGTTGCAGTGGAGCGTACTCTTGAACTGGTTAGAAAATGTCGCGAGATTGACGTCAAGGTATAGTAATAATGCTAGCACTCAGGATCGGTCTACGCATAATCGGGTTGTCTTCTTATGATACCCCGCATATTTAAGTGAAATATGAAAATATAATGTTCTACTTCGTACGTGTGTTGAACTCCGTACTGACCTTGGCACTGGGTCTAGATTATCTGGGTGAACTGGGGGTTGAGTGAGAAGGACCTCGAAACCATGCCAGCGGCCGCCGAACGGACCTTCGATAGAAGCCTACTTACGACGTCTCCAGACAGCGAACAGGCTAGAAGCGGCTTCGGCTCTGACATGGGAGAGGGTAGAGGTCGAATGTTAATGGAAGGATCGTGGAATGCGGCGCTTTATGGCGCTTTGCACGACGTCACGCGCGCCTCGGACATTTTCTGTAGTAAGAATCGTATATCGGGATTCTGGCACGGCGAGACGCCGCTCGCGAAGGAGTTAGACTCCGGTGGCTTTCGTACTCTCTTATTTGCCGGCGTAAACACGGACCAATGCGTCTTGGGAACTCTGGCTGACGCATATTATCGTGGATACGACTGCATTATGGTCGAGGACTGTTGTGCAACGGGTACTCCAGGAGGGCAAGAGGTTACTATACGCAATACCTCGGTGAGTTGACTATTTGACCTTGTTATTCAATCTTGAACATCCCAAATAAACCCAACGTTGAACCGTCAAGATAGAATAGCTCCCCCGCTGTAGTTCGTATTAGATATTCAAGACACTTTGCTAACGCTAGACACATAGGGGATATATGGCTTCGTAGTCGATAGTAACAGCGTTATTAAGGGTACGCTCGACACCGAAGTACAGAAATGAGCACGGTACGTTAAGCAATGCTATACAGTACAGCATTTGTACCTACCTGGGTACCATACGGTATTACTTACGTCTTTCGCTCTTTAGCCCTCTTAAGCCTTTACCTTAACAGAACATACGACGACACCTATGACTTCATTAATTGGGCGAACAGCTCGTTTTTCAGATTGGCAACTCCGCAGCTACTCCAACGCAGATTAAGATGTAATTAGTAGAGGTTGAGCACTGCATGCTACGTTATCTCCCCAGTTCCTTCGCGTACCCCAGATATTACTAGTCTTGAACCCCGCGTACGTGAGGAGCCTTCGGGCTTCGCGACGAAAGTAGTGCCCGTAATTGGATCGTATTTAAGTACATAAAGGAACCGCCGGATCAGCTGTACCCCAGAAATATTACCGTTGGCTTATACAGACGCTTCCTACATCCGGGTTAGCTGTCCCGTCCTGACCCATGGTCCTGGTTCTTGCACGAAGTCAAAACCAAGTGCCCTATTCAAGATCGCGGCACAGCCTTCTTACACGTGCGCCAGGCCGTCTCAAGCTGGAGCCGTTGAATGGGATCCGTACACGGATTTAACCCTACCCTCGTTGTTTTACATAGTAGCTTGACGGGAATAATGCGGGGTTTCGGTCAACGACCTACCTGTACCTGGTATAATAGCACCACGATAGATCGAGGAGGTTGATTTGTCATATTACGTCAACCTCTCAATGCCTTAACTGACTAATATTGTGCAAGTATCTTAATAAGACAACGACAAATTCCTCACTTTTCCTAACAAGTGTTAGTAATGATTATTTTACAAAGTACTGCGATTACGTATGGCTATACTATACGGCCATGTTGTAAGTTCGTATCTGTATTCAGCTAAAGGGGACTTAATTCTGTTGGTTTCGCTAGTCTGATGATCGGATATTGATGAATATGACTGCTTCAGTCGTTTTAACAACTTTCAGGTGACTACGAAAACTGTAACCGAATGCGATGCAATATCCACATGACATGCCCGTCTCAAGAGACGAAGTGCGGAATATGACATTGCTCACATACCAGGACGCATAGTAAATTTCACTCAACTAGATTTGCATAGCCTCTAGGGGCAAGGCTACTAGTAAGAGCATATGAGTACCTCCTATGAGACTTGAACTGGACGTAACAATTGCTGCTTTGTTCTGTTTATTCTGTTGTTCCTAATATCATCACGCACATGCACAGATTGACTCGACAGTACTAGTCAACTTAAGACCTATATTGCTCCAATCTTAGTTGGCAATAAGTGGCTTTGAACCCAGCTTGGTGGAACTTTTAACGTTCCCAAAATAGGGACCTAAGGTAACTAACCAGTAAGGACTCGGCGTTGAGTTATGACTTGGCAAGAGTCTCTCCTAGCTCCTTGCCTCGGTCGGCCGCCGCCTTCACGGCTTTATTGACAGTGTCCTTGAATCCCGAGGCATCGAAGCTTTTTAGGGCGGCTTCCGTAGTTCCCTTGGGACTAGTAACATTGATTCGCAGCTGCGCCGGCTCTTCAGACGATTCAACTAGCATCTTGCCCGCCCCAAAGCAAGTCTGCTTGGCTAGGCGCGTTGCCTGCTCCCGCGAGAGCCCTAAGCTTATCCCGCTTTCGATCAAATGCTCAACCATAGCGAAGAAGTAGGCAGGTCCGGATCCTAAATCACGTTCGCCCCTGATCAGTTTTCAATGGGCTTCGATTCGGTGGGAATGGACTTTACCTGACAGGCCGGTGACGACGTCGATTAGCTCTTCCCGATCCACCCACTCGGCCACCTTACTCACACTGCCTAGTAGTGCGGCGGTCAAGTCTTTCTCTTCTTGCGACACGTCACCACTCGCGAAAAGGCCCGATGCGCCCTCACCTAGCAATGCAGGTGTATTAGGCATAACACGAATGATGTGGGGTGTGCGTCCGTCGGCGAGCTTCAGCCACTCCTTGAGGCTCTCCAGCGTGATACCTGCGGCAATAGAGACAATTAAGGGTAAGGACGCGCGCTCGGCCCAAGCGCCGGCGAGCTCTTGGCATACACCCTTTGTAACCTGCGGCTTCACTGCGAGGACGAGGAGATCCGTATCTTGCGAGGCCTCAGCGTTAGATGCGGTGGTGCGCACCCCCGTCGCCCCAATCTTATCCCGATTCACCTCCCAAGGCTCCGAGACGATAATATTCTGTTTGCCAATGCCCTTAGCCACAAGACCACCGATAATGGCACCGGCCATGTTACCGCCTCCGATGAACCCCAACTTGCTGTTCTGTAGTTTAGAAGCCATTTTTTACTTTGTACGTCTTTCTAATTTCCGTCTTGTGCGGATTTATTAATTTGTATTGTATGAATTTGTAGTGTATGAATTTGTAGTGTATGAAGCCCGCCGGCCCGCATCGATGTGTCGATGTCGGCTTGTTTCGGTCTTGTTAGCGTCACCTAGTATCAAAACCATTGTGGCAGTGCGTTGTGGCTAATACAAAGAAGTAGGGGTTGATGTGGCTAGAGAGCTAAGCTATACCTTAGGTAGCTTGTTGAACAGAACCTTTATTACTATGACTTTACATTATAAGGACTTTCCAATCACTATGATAATAATTTCTTTCTTCCTTTATTTCCATTTCTTCTCTCTTGAGGATTGTTCGCCCTCTCTAAAATACTCGATGGCTTCTGTATGTATTCAAGGCCGATATAGAATGTAGTACTCCCTTCTATGATAGAAACTCATATAACTACCTGTTATAGGGGTAGTTATATCTTAGACTTTATGGTTCTTGGTGTCTTCTTCATAGATGTCTAGGTAAACGCCTGTGGGCATAAGGATGTCGTAAATAGCGACAATGTATCTAAGTGGCATCGGGTTAGGTTCCCCCCGGCCGGTAAAAGTGACAAGTATTGTCTGTTTACCAAACCCAAGACATTGATAAAGGAGTTGTCTAATGTCTATTTAGTCCCGTCTGTTGTTTTAAGTATCCCACTCCTCAGTCATATCCTAACAATTCCATTGTATTACACACGTTGCCATTCACAATCACTTACACGTAGATACTTTTCATTTCAATTGTTTGTCATCTATACCAGTTGAGTGAATACATACAAGTGCTTGGCTTGATTATATATTCTTCCTTTTCTCTTCAACTCTTCGATTTTGCCTTACGGCTCATTAATTAGCTCATCACCTCATCACCAATATCCCAATCCCTCAACTTCCCCCCTGAAGCTTGCATCGTATTGCCGTAGCGTCCACATTGATAATCACTCTTGATAATTATTTCAGTATGACATCTATCACAAGCTTGCCCAACGAGCTCCTTATGGAGATTTCGAGACATTTGAACCGTGCAGCCGACTTGAGTTCCCTTTCCGCCACAAGTCGACGCTTTTACTTCGCCGTCAACCCTGTCTTATACTCTTTTGCTGCTATAAACTACCCGGGTATCTTATCCTGGGCCTGCGAAGCTGGCAAAATTGAGATGGTGAGGAAACTTCTCAAGGCAAGGCAAAACCCAAATCAGCTCACATCCAATTCCCGAGATCTTTTTTTAGAGGATCGTATGGGCATTGAATGGGTTCGCGACATGGCAGACACTAGAGCCGTTGTCAACTCTATAATTAGTTACAAGCAGAGGGTTGTAGAACGTCGTTCAAGGCATAATAACGATCCTCCTACTTACAACAAGAACTTAAAAAATAGAAAAAGAACAAGAAGAGTAAGAAAATACTTGCGTCTGGTTTTGAGAAATTTCTGGTTTCCCCTCCACTCCGCTGCTATAGCTGGATCTACCGAGCTCGTCAAACTATTGGTAGACTCCGGTGCTTTCTTGGACGTTCCTGCGCATGCGATTTATAACTGCCAACCTCGTTACGACCGGAAGATAATTAAGTCTGAGTTTTACTATTGGACGCCATTGCACACCGCTTTATGCTGCGGTAATGAGGCCGTGGCAAACTTGCTTATTAGCCTAGGGGCGTCAACAAATGTTGAAATAAATAAAAGGAAGTCTAGTGCATTGCATTGGGCGGTTCGCGGTGGTTATTCATCAACCATACAACTACTTTTAGAAGGCGACGAAAAGGTCCCCATTGACGTCCGGGATGTTGTAAGTAATATTCTTTAACATTATCATTTCTTCCATGTAGATTATTTCGACTCTTTAGATATATGAGAGCGAACACTTCCCATCTTTGGAAACCACGATTACTGACTTTTCTATAGGATAACGCAACTCCCCTTATGTGGGCTTTAGGGACACCACATAGCATCCCGACAATGGAGTGCCTCCTTCGGTACGGCGCAAACATGGAAGCGCAAACTAATAGGCGGTGTTCTGGGTTTAATCAACAACCCACTGCACTCTTACGAGCTATTCGTTGCTGTTGGTACGAAGACGCTCTTTTCCTTATTAATTCCGGGGCGAATATCCATCCTCCTACAGATGCTTTACCCTCCGCACTAGACCAGTGCCTTATTTCCCTCCGCGGGATCCCTAGCGAAGAGATGTCAGAGAAAGTGTTCTACCTTTGGCCTGAAATAGATAATCGGATGCATATACAATTTTGTAGGCGTTTTGGCCTTGAGCGTGACCTGGGGGTTTTGTCAAAAAATCCTGATTTCAACGATATTTACGATGAAGAAGTTCACTCTGGCATGGTGGAATTAGCCAAAAAGCTCATCTGCATCGGTGCTAATGTTCACGGTTCTCCTGGCACTCGGTATGCGCCACTAGTGCGCGCATCAGGGGCTCATTTGACAACGGTGGTAGACCTGTTGATAAAGTATGGTGCGGAAGTTGACCAAGAAGGTGATGATGGTATATATCCGCTACTTGCTGCTGTCCTTACCACGGATACGGTATCACCGAAATCTTGTTTTGACACTGTTGAGTGCCTCCTCAAAAATGGGGCAAATCCTAACAAAGTAACTCGGCGCAACCGGACAGTTCTCATGGCCATATGCTCTAGTTCCTCCCACAACCCGAATGATCTTGAGCTGGTTAAGCTTCTTGTCGAAAATGGTGCGGATGTAAACGCTCGTAATGTCTTCCAGGTGCGACGTCTTGCATACTATCTCTTCGAAAAGTCCTTGTTATTTTCACCTCTTCAAGCCGCTCTCTGCACTCATAAGGTAGATATCTGTCGGTATCTTATAGATATAGGTGTAGAAGATTCTTATCAAATGTCTGATCTTCATGAAATACTGGAACATTTAGTCCAACAGGATAGCTACTACTTCTATTCTGGAGACGAAAGGAAACACGCTCGGGAGCAGTATTGTGAAGCTTTCCAGCTTCTCTTCGAAATTGATCATTCTGGATGGCTTTTTAAACATCCCAAGGCTCTTTGGATGTCTACTATGGTCCGTTGCTTTCCCCTGACGACGATTCTCCTCAAAAATGGCGCTTCTGATGCTTCGTGGGTCAACAGGGAGGGGGAAACTTGTAAGTACACCTCACTCATTAAGATGCATAGATTATTAACGATTTATATATAGGTTTACATAATATGGCCTTTTTTGGATTCGGTGACTGCCTGGTTCCTACCCTCATACCACACCTTATCGCAAACGGCGCGGATGTTAACAAGCTTAACAACGACGGCTGCTCGCCGTTGTCGTATATTCTACAATCAGACTTCCTAGACGCCTCTGTGGAGGACGTTGGACGGTACGTCAGATTGTTCACAGTCTTCATCGAGAACGGAATAATCCAGACGAACCGCGATGTAGAGGTATTTGAATTGCTGGTGGATAACCTAGATCTTCTGACCCATATAGTCCAGTTACACCTATTTGTCGAACTAAGCAATCTGTACGTTGTCAAAGGCGGGAAAATAGTTGCCCGAGAAACACGCCTCCATCGGGAAGTCTCTCAGGTTAGGACAAATATGGATGAGGTTCATTGAGTTAGGCATTGAAAGCATATCCTGCTACCTGGCTCCCAATGACAGTAATGAGGAGGAGCATTATGAGACTCAGTATTGAGAAGATATCCAAATTTCTAACCTAACCTACCCAAGTAGTAATTTAATCACCATAATTTGCATACTCGTTTCTAAGTAAAAGACTAGTGATCATGTATTGAAATATGACAGTGAATCATTGCTATATAGGTACCCAACTAAGGTACGCTTATAAGGCATAACCAACTTGGGCCAGGTTCTCGATCGCAGCTAACCCATACAGAGCAGCATCGTTGGTCGAAACCCACGCTGCCTCGTCGACCGGCACTAGAACTTCACTTCCGTTCAGGTGCTGGCTCGTCCAGGGCAGTGATGGCGATAAACCATCGGTGCTGAGGAACTCCTTCCACGCGCGCGCCGCCAGCGTTGAGTTGTCTAGCTTCTTGGCCGCGTAGGCAGTTAGTCGCGAGTGCCCCTGCTTCAAGCTTAAGCTGCCGAAGCTGACTCCATATCGCGCCTTTTGCTCCGCTGCCCCGGCGCCGTAGTAGTAGCAGTAATCCAGCCAAACCTGTTCGAAGCCGGTCGGTAGGTCGTCTCCTAAGTAGTCCGTCAGCTGCGAGATGATCTCTGGCAGCCCAAAACTAGCCGAGAGGTGGGTCACGGTCACGTTGCCGAGGTTCTTCGGGTCAGTGGCCGGTGGTGAGATGACGCCCGTATGGAGATTGTAGAGACCCAGTCCTGTAACGAAGCCATTTTTCAGGTTTACAATACTGTGCATAGTAGTGTTGAGTTTTGATCGTGCTTCTTCCCATCGCGGGCCGCGCCTCTCCCACTCGAGTAGCCATGTCGATGCTAAGCCCGACCAGTCCAGGCCGAGGTCTAAGTCTAGAGCAGTCGGGTCAATAACATAGGTGCCGTTGTCCTTGCGGACCTTGCGACGCGGATCTACAGTGAGGAATGCCTGGTCGGCGTCCATAAGCTCGTGGAGGAGTTCCCCGGTTCGCTCGTCGCCGCCGGACAGGTAATAAAATACTTGTCGGTAGATGGGTGTCGACACACGGATCTGCTTGGAGCTGTCACCCCAGTGCTGGACACCGTGACGGGTACCGAATCCCTTGAACGGACCGATATGATAAACGTCTACTTCACCGGTGTGTCGTGCGTGGGCCTCTGCAAATCGGTACACGTCCGCTCTGCCCGTGCGCAAAAAGTAGTTCCAGAAGAAAAGATTGGGCGAAAGTTCCGAGTTGTCCCAAGCGTATCCTCCAATATCATAGCGCCAGGTGTGTCTGTCTACGTCGTATGTGTCTACGATAACGTGTTAGTGATCTTATTCTTAAAGAGCTTAGAAATAAGAGTAGGTAGTATATCAATAAAGGAGTCTGGCCCCTCGAAACATATTAAAAAAGAGTGAAGAATCTTGGATGTTACATACGCATGATGTCACCGTGATCCCAGAATCCATACCATCGTCTCTGAGACACTTGATCTTGATAGAACTTGATTAAGAAGTCGAGGTGTGTTTCAACCGTTCGTGCTGCCTCAGTCAAATTGTCAGGGACCGTCTCCCAGTATGACCCGACAGCTTTTGTCTGTTGAATATATGCCGGGTCAGCGGCAAGTGCAGGTAGTTCGTTGGCGTGCTCAGTAAGGGCAGCTAGGGTATCCGAGGAGGGTGTTTTATCGAACGGGAATAGGAACACTTCGTTTGTTCGAGCAATGCCGTAAGGTGTGTCGTAACCTCCCTCATAGTCCTCGTAGGTGATCTCGAGCGCATCAAGTTGGTCGTCATATGTGTCTTCCCCTAGGCCGTCATGGAAGGGTCTGAGATCCATGGGTTCGGCAGAAGGGCTGTATAGCCACAGGGTTATCTGACCAACATCCGTAGCCGCGTTAGAGATGTCTAGACTTGTTGGATATTTCTTCCAAAAGTCGCGAAGAGCGACTGCGAGACCACCTTGCGTAGCACCGCCAAGATAAGCAAGACCGCCGGCTCGCGTGCCTCCGGGGATCTTGACCCAGCTCTGACCAGCCTTGGTGCGCTTTTTCAGTGTAAATCCGTCAGGGGACAGTTGAGTCAAGCTATAGTCATTCCACGAGGGAATCCACTTTAACCTCGAGGAGACGCGGGTATCCCATGATGCAATATCAGGTGCCTGTTCGCCCTTGAATTGGGCACTGCGAACTTCCTTACCAGGATCCCTTCGTAGCCCTGTAATACCTTGCACTGCTTCGCTTAGCAGTCCTCCGTCAGGACCAGCCAGCCTGACATGGCGGTTATACAACTCTTCACCGGCTAGAGGGACGTCGAACTGGATTCCAATCCCTGAAACGAAGTCCTTATCGCCCTTCCCGTCAAACACGAGCGTGTGGACAACGCGGATGGCATCGGAATTCGCGTACAAGTAAAAGCGAAGAATAAATGGTAGCCAGTCATCATGGGTACCCAAAGTTGTCTGGTGCTTTCCACGGACAGTTACTAGGGTCCTAACTGTGCTGTCTTTGCTGGAATCGACGGCGACCTCTTCGATGGTACTTTCGAATCTTAGCTTGTCTATAGAAGTCGTGTTTCCCTCGTCGTCCGCGATACCGGACTGCGATCGTAGTATCAGTCGTCCGTTCTGCCCTACAATCTTGCCGCTTGACGTCTTAATAGTACTTAAGAGGGTGTTTCCAGACTTGGGGAAGGTCGCAGAGAGTTTTCCGGTGTTCACGGTAATCTCGTCGTTGGAGTCGTTGACGGTTAATCCTGATTGAGTGGACGGGTTTGCGCGTTTGGTCGTATTCGTCTCAACTCTGGCGGACGCGGTAATCTTGTACTCTTCGTAAACCTTCTCAGATCCGCCAAGTGCATGTCCAGTCCATTTGATCGAATCATCTGGCCAGTAAGCTGTTACCCATGACTCTATCTGGACCTGGTCATTACCGTCGCCTCCCAAACCAGTAAATGTGGTCTGGTTTGCTTGGTATTTGCCCCGGGGCCAAGGAAGCCCGAACGTCGACCCCGAATTGAGAGTCGGCGTGTTGCCGATCCATCTCACCGTGACAACATCTTCCGAACTGCTGGTGTTTGGATAGTTTTGGGCGGAAGCAAAGTTAGCTAGGCCCAGGGCGATAGCCCCTATAGCCCGGGGTAGAGACATTCTTGGAAAGTTAAGAGGCCAGAAACACAGCCGGAGTCCTCTTCAACTCTTTTTTCGAAGCCTCACTAGACTTGCCTCCATCCAAGTGAGATTTCTATACCGAAGTCTCCCCATACCTTTATATATTATATACATACCTAGGTAGTCTAAGAGTATGCGGAAACTGATCTCCAATTTCCGGCGTACGGGTTTCTGGGTAAACTACAAGCTAGAAGCATTGATGCTACCTATGTAACTTGATTTGCGTAGCATTGCAACTTCGGTAGGATATTACACCGGACATGTTGCCTACCTGGTAGTAAAGCATGAATAGCTACTCCGCATCTAAGTCGACTTAGTATGCATTAGCATTAGTTTGTGCTATGACGAACAAGACAGGATAGGATAACGTAAGTAAATATCCATCTCTTTATAGGAAGATTCCACGAATGACATGAATGCCTAAGGAGCTAATCCACGTCACTTAACAACGGTGTAGTTGCGGGGGTTGTGGAGATACCCTGGCTAACTTGGAGGCTTCGCAATAATCATCATAAATGTTGGAGATGAGCAATTCCCCGCAGGCAATCCAGGGGTTCAAATAGAGATTTAAATATGGCCCGAGATTCGGTCAAGCATAAGACAAAATATTTGAGTAAACGTCTTCCTCTCTTCTTGGTTAGTTGCCTCCCTCTGAGTGAATAAATACTATGCATAAGAAGTTTAAGATAAACGTTTACATAGAACTCTCACGCTGCTGGTATAGAGATTCCACTTTCCACGACAGTAGTATTCTAGAAATATTGGAAAGAAAATTAAAATATTTGCTTGATGCTCAAATTCATACATAAACGCTTTGACCACTTTGGAATATCGTTTACTACCAGTGCCAAGTGCTACCAGCTGCTAATTTCAAGCCATTTCAACCTATCGTTCATAAGATTGACGTGAATTGGGTTTTCAAACCCTCACTTCATATCACATCTTCATTGTCAAATCACGTCGGCCTTCAGTATAGTTACATCTGACAGTAACTACCTGACATGCTTCGGCAGCTCTTTACCCGGGCTAGGCCCTCGTTACTAAGACCAGTCGCCCATCATCGTCAGTTTAGGAGCCGGCCGCAGCTCAGCTTCCCTAATTATGCGCCGCTGCCTGGTCCATATTTCTCTCCACCACCCCGGTCACGAGGTAGCAGGCTTAAGGATATCGCTTTCGGATCGGTGCTCACTATTTTTGCCTATATATCATATCACGTTTATTCCTTCCGTCAGTTTTCTAAGAAGCTTGAGGGCGCCGTAGAAGAATTTAGACGGGAAGACGCTATGGATGATGAGTTGCGCCTGAGCTTAGCTGATGCTCGCCGCGCCGGTGATCATGACCGTTTAAGGGAAATCGGTTTTCAACACGCGCGTCGCATATCAAACGCTTGGTCCGAGTTTGGTCCGCTACCGAGCTTTCCTGGGGCCGAAACTATTATCCCCGAGGAGGATACGTTGACGTTTATATGGTACGGTAACGAGGATGTCACCAACTTCTTCGGCAACGGCGTTTGCGCAATCCGAATAGCCATCAACGCCGAACTAAGTGAAGAATTCATCCCTTTGCAGAATCCGAAAGAGGGCGCCGCCCTTACCGAATTACTTGCTCGGACCAACTACCTAATTGCAGACTTGGTTAGACAAGGGATGCTGGCCGAGGGTACTGAGTTGCTACTTCATGTGCTCTTACGAGGTCACTCGATCGAAATGTCATATAAGATTCATCTACCTACTCCTGAAAACGAGACCGAAAATGCGGCTTGATAGAGAGTATCCGATAGAACAATATTCTACTAAAATACCGGGCCTTGAGGGATGGTCTTCGGTGATTATCCTTCATCTTTAGTGCCTAGGTACCTTGTTTTAGTTACTATCTTGGCCGTAACATTACTGTGACCGGTCCTTGCTGAGGATAGTAGACTTTCACGGGCACCTATATTGGCTTCATAATAGTGCGTTCGAAAACTTCGGATAGCGCATAGACGGCGTTCTGAGGACAATGGATAGAAAGGGACCGATTCTGGAAAAATTGGAAACTCGAGATTATCAACCAACTCCCAAGGAACTAGCATATAACTATACAGAAGAAATAAAGGTAGATTTTACTACGTAGCACGAGAGGATAGGGGATGTTTAGGAAAAGCTACTGATAAACCAAATTTGCTCTCATCTCTGATGACACCGTCTTTCATTAATCATGAGATTAAATCGCGTAGTTTACTCTAGTGGCACTGTTTCGAGTATTCCAACTCGTAAGTCTCTTATACTAGGTATCTAAATTTTGCAATTATAGCATTGAAAATTACCACATTCTTCAATATGAACGCCCGGAAGCAGCTTTCAATCACAGGGGTATCATGCCTTCTTTTCGCTTGATAACATCATTCCCGTAAAACCAACGCACAGCCATGAAATATGAAAGTGAAAATAAATCGGGAAAGAAGCTTTCCCTTTAGGCCGAGGGCGACGACGAGGAATTTCTCCCTAGCCTCTTGCTCTTCTTACCCACGATATCAATCACTTCGGGCTCCGGCGTCTCGGGGCCCTCAAGCCGAGTAGACGGCTCGCCCACTTCGGGGTCGTCTCTGTACGGGGCAATCGGTGCAGCAGTCTCTTCCTCGTCATCGCGATCGGTAGAAACAAACAAGGGCGCGTACCCGCGTGCGCCACGATTCCTGAACCAAGCCGGCGTCTTCCATTTCGGCGCCTTCACCTTCGGGATTGTTGGTAACTTCCACTTTACGCTCTTGATCTTGAAGTTCGGCCTCGGTAGCGACGCCCCGTCGAGCCACGGCATGCTGGGAGGAGCATCTGGTCGCAGCTGGTGTCCACAGTTAGGACAGTCGGGCGGAACAGCCTGCCACGCGAGGTATTGCGTCAGCCCCGGGATTGCGAGGCCGCGAGAGAATTCGCGTACCGCTAGGAAGAGATGGATCAAACTATGCATAACACACCGAGTTTAGCAAATCATGACCTTGTCTGCTTCTCGATTGATTTCTAAAGAGATCAGAATATGGGTGAACCTACAAATTAATTAGTAGTGGGATTGTCGCGTATGCGGCCAACATGACCGATTCGGCACTGTTAGTGCTGCTGCTGCTGGAATCGATCCATGTGAAGACAAGAACTACCATGAGTGCTGCAGCAAGGATCGTATCGACGGCGAAGATGAGGATGGGGTGGGACGAAGTCGATTTCGGCGCCGGAGATGGAGTGGGCGCATCAGATGCCTCTCGGCTCTGCTGCGTGTCTTCCGTCTCTGGTCCTCGTTCATATTCCTGTTCTAGAGCACTCTCCTCGGTTACCCCTTGCTCCAACTCCGGCTCCGGCTCCGGTTCTGACGGTGTCTGTTTACTCTTAGACTGCCGCGAATTTAGAAAAATACCTGTGCCGGCTGAGAAGGCGAGCGGCACCAGGCCGACTGCGGGGGCGGGGCTGCCTGAGATGACGCCGTGCGCGACACAGAGGGCAAACGCAGGCAAGAAAGTCGCGGCGGTAACGATGCGCAGTGTTCGGGAGTCGGCCATGGATGCGGTAGCTATCTAAGCTATCGCGACGAGGATCTCACGGAATTGGCATATGTGTATATGAATACCTACTGAAGAAGTAGAAGAAGAGGGGTTGACAAACAACACGAAACTTACGAGGGTTCAAGTTTGAGATTCATTTGGGCAGCCCCCTGTTCGTTTTATCACCGCTAGGGATCTGATTCGCTAGCCAATGAGGTGACATTGTTGGACCACGGCCCTGCCTAGGCTGGCGATCTTGTTGTTAGGAGGAACTTGATAGGTGATCAATAAAATGTGAAAAATGTGGACAAATGGTTTAGGTAGGTAGTGATTGGAAAGGCGTAATTGGTGGCTGAATGCTACGTGGTCAAGTAGGTAACACATAAAACTAACACTACGGTATAGATAATACAATCATCAAATGTTTTATAGCATAATTTCATAAATGTAGAATGAAAGCGTAGATATTTCGTAATAGACAAGGACTTATAAGCTTCAAGGAACTTACTTAATATAATTTTCACACAAGAAGACTTATAAAAGGATAACGATATATCATACTGACCTAGGGAACGAATGTAACTAAGGCAACCGGTCGTCACAGTGATAATGCAACACTTCCGTGAATATTACCACTTTCATTCCATAACATAGCGCTGACTTCCCATTTTGGAGAGCCCGGTCCATAGGTAGTACTGTCTTGAGAAGAATAAGAGCCAACATCACCCCCCTTTTCCTAGCTTAAACCTCCTACGCGATCCGTCGTAGCAAGACCGCATTCGGCGCCGGCGGAACCTGCGAGGCAGAAACGCCGGGCTCCATAGGTGATACGGGGCGTAAGATGGTAATAGGCCGGAGGATAGTTGTCGGGTATAAGACGACCGGACCGTCGACTACGCATTTAGGACGTACCGGCGGCTTTGGAAGCGGGCGGCTCGGTGGGCCGGGAGCATCACGGGTCGGGCGGAGAGGGCCGTAGATGTGTGGCGGTGGCACCTCGTAGATGATGCGGCTAACGGGTGGTGGTATAATGATATCGGTCGGCATTGGGCCTACTTGAGATTGAGTTGTGAAGGGGTTTCTGATAGTAAGCTGGCTTGGTAGTAGTAGGAAGGGATATGGTAGGTCTCAAGTAGGTATGTGCTGAAATGCAATAGTGGTTGAAAAGGAGGACCTAAGAGGAGAGAAAATCTAAGTTCGTAAGGAAAATGGAACATAGCGTTAAATGCTTTTTGGGACGTCTCAGTCTATCGTTGGACTTTCCGTTCGGCCTAGACACGTCTAACCCGCCTTAATCGTCTTCTATATGATAAGGTGACGAGGGTCGCTGACTTGGGTGTGACTTGGAGTACTGCTTCGGAGCTATATGTGGCGTCTGGAGGTAAGATAGCAGATTCATGCGAGCTAACCCTTTATCAGGATTGGACAGTGGATATCGTATGGCCTGAAGCTTATGCTTCGTAGAATATCCTACAGGATTGAATCATGAAGTCTAGTTCGATGCTGATTCACGTTCCTGAATAGAGGCCACTTGTAATGTCTTGGAGCCGACTCACGATATGACACTCATTGAGCATTGCTCTGTCCCACAGGAATCATACTCTTTTGATACTCCTTTTGGCTGATATAATGGTACTGAAGTGTGTTACTCAATAGGTAACAAGCTAGTTTAAGTGACCTTATGGTTGCTGCAATGAACTAGTTCCGGGAACGAAGTAAGCGAGTTGATGGGTTGTCTTGGCCTCACGAATTGGTTATAGTACATGACCCTGGACTCTCGATGAGGTGAATTTCATAGATTATAATCTTCTGCTCGACGCCTTCGCCTATGATGAGGCTGGCTAAGAGCTTGCTTTAGCGTTAATGTCTATAGCGACGTTAGTATTACTGAATATGTCATTTAAAACCTATGCCATGGTTCTAGCATAGCCATAGCTACCTACTTATCGAGTGATTCTTTACCATGTCATGCCTGACTCCTGGGCCTTTGATAATAATTATATTCTTATAATAACCATCGAATGGGGCGTGATGTAGGGGTGTTGATAAAATATCTCAGGATAAACGACCTAAAGGAAGACTGTATATTTGAGAATAAATTATTCATTGAAAAAGTCATGTTATGGTATCGACGATGCTTTTGCTCGAGCCCATCCTAAAACGCCGCGTTGTGTCATGCCCTGCTATGCAAACTTCCTACCTTAATCCCAATATCTAATAATACCATCTAAACCAGCCGCAACGACCTTGCTCGTCTCCTGAGGATGCCACTGTACGCATGTGATCGGCTGGTCACCAGCTTGTAATTTATGATACATCTTACACGTCTTCCAATCCCAGAAACAGACGAACCCACCGCTGTCACCGCTCGCGAGGAACTGCCCATCAGGGCTGCACGCGACATCGATAGCTGTGCCGGCGTTGTTATGCCCTCGGTAACTCTTCTTCCTATTTTGCCTGAACTTGTCATTGGCGCCATAGACCACGATCTGGTTGTCGGATGACTGGTACGCCACGTATTTGTTCGACGGGTGTAGGCACGCGCGCGTCATTGGGAACATGTACGGTTCCGCGACGTACTTGATGGGTACGGGAATGTTATAGTCCCATGCGCGTAGCGACTTATCGTCAGACGTGGTCATGAACCGTCGGTTGTCGTCTACGAAGGTAATGGTGTTGACGGCATTTAGATGGTGATCGTATTCCTGGACAAGCTCCCCCGTTCGCGTGTCGAATTGGACGATCTTCTTATCCGACATACCGGCGAGGAATTCATGCGCATGCTCTGGGGAGGGATTGAACTTGATGACGTGTGGTGTCTTGCCGGTTGTGAACTTGTTGATACAGGCACCTGTTTCGGTGTCCCACAGCTTCATTTGGCGGTCATATGATGCCGAGAGGAACTGCGTGCCAGAATTGTTAAAGCAAATATCCGAGACAGCTTTGGAATGGCCCAGATAACTTCGTAAAAGTTCCTTTTGGTGGTAAACGTCCCATATCTTGACCGTGCTGTCTGCACCAGATGATAATAATAGATGTCCCGAGTTCGGGAAGAATCGAAGAGCGGTGACAGCCTTGTTGTCGTGGTTCTTCCATGTATGAACCAGCTTCTTGGGGATGTAATTCGTGATGCTGCCGGGTTCCTTTTCTAAATCGATATCCAGATCTTTGGGTACGTGCATGTAGGTCCTCCCTTGGTAGTCGTATTCCTCTTGGCCATGGAATATGGTTTGCTCGTCTCCTAATTCCTCTACTACTTTCCTCCTGGCTATGGCATCCACCGGTGCCGAGACGACAGTACCGCTTGCCACGACGTCGTCTTCGTCTTCGTCTTCGTAAACATATTCGACCTCTTCGTCACTTGCTAGTTCTTCATCTTCTGCAACTTCTTCGTATTCATCCTTCTGATATTTCGCCCAGGGTCCTACGTATGCGCCATCTCCATCGGCGATAGTCGCGTTGCCTTTCTTTTCCCTCGATTGCCTTAGTTTGGCCGCCTCCTCCTTCACTGAAGCACCGGACTGGTATTCCCTCTCTGGACCGCCCTTACGTTCGATGGCGCGATGTTTACTTCGAAAGGTATGTTCGCTGAGGAAAGTCTCTTCTGCATGGCCGGTGAGGATGTTTTTACGTTTTAGCGCATTTGCTTCGTCCTTGTATGGATTGAGAGGCCCGAGTCTAGGTCGCGCAAGATCTTCGCCGGTGTAAGGCACGACAGCGTGATCAGGTTCAGCATGTTCGCGTACTATAAGCGCATCTTGGGGTGCCATATTTGGCGGATATTCCCCGAAGTTATTCATTTTGCTTCTGTGTACTATGGTTTATGGTTGATGCGCGCTTGTAAATGGAGTGTAGGCGTGTTTGAAGATGCAGTGGGTCGTAGGTAGGTAGTGTTTTTGCACTCCGGCAGCTTAGAGCCTTTAGACGTCAGGGGTGCTTTAGAGCTTTGCAAGCTTCCAGGTAACGTATTTCATAAGTCAGCGGCCCACACAAGTCAAAGGCCCAGCGAAAATACATACAAAATACGTCTGTGCGTAACCGTGCACTTTACTCAAAAAAAATCATATTAAAAATCGGTTTTCAAATTTAGGTATTTATTTAAATCATAATAATAATAGTATTTTTTATAAATTTCGGTTTAATTTTTTAAATTTAAAAAAAATAAAAAACTTAAAAATGGGTCCGAAAATATTAATATCTTTTATAACTTTTATTATAATGCAATAAAAAAATTAAAAAAATTATTTTCGTATTAGTTTTATAGTTAAATAAAACATATTAAAATTTGAGAACTTTTAATTAAAGATTCGTAAAGTTATGAATTTTTAAAAACGTTGATTTTCGGTTATATTTCGGCTGGGCCTTTGACTTGTGTGATCCGCTGACTTGTGTTTTACGTTAAGTATCATATCTTTCTGGGTCTTCCAAAGATTACGTGATCATTCCGATAAATCAATAATCTCGCTAATATTAACTCACCATATATGTACATGTAGTTAAATTGTAGGTATCCATGTACTTCGTACACGATTCAAGATATACAAGGCTTGAGTGATCACATTTGCTAAATGATTTACATTACTTATAAATGGCATGTTAAACTGACTAAATTCGTACGGGTCGGGGTATTATCTTGTGACTTTATTATCTATGAGAATCTCCGGCCCGAAAAACTTGCACATACTGCTAATTCAACAGACCTGACCTACTCCCAGGTCGCTCGCTATCATCATTTCAATCCTATCCCATGGTATCGCACACATCGAACGAGACAATCGGGTCATTTTCAATCCCTATCGACCTATCGAGGGACCACGTTCCATCCCGCTTCATCAACTCGTCCGGTAATTCTCCCCTCTCCAAGCAAATTCACAACTTTAAGGCTCGCTCCAGGGTTGTCTGGATTGACAATGCTCCCGCCGGGTATCTGGAGACCCTATGTAATCGTGGCCTCATTAGAGTCATTCCGTTAGGGTGTTTCGTTTGCGTCGTGTTTATCATTGTGCTTATCCCAACGTCTCGCAGCTTATTTCGTCTCGTCCTTGATCAAGGCAACGATCATGCTGTACAGGTAGAAGAAGAACATGACCAGATGGAAGCCCAGCTTGGTGAATGATTCCTGTAACTGACGTTAGATGAGTCACTCCAAAATTTAATAGATACCCATACCTTCTTGTGCACATTGAGCTTCCTGAAGATCTCGGTTGCATCCAGCAGGTGAGTGTTGTCCACAATCCTATAACTCGTGTTAGAATCTCCCTGTAGAGCACTTAAAACTATTTGATATGGCTTTGACGTAACGTACTTCTTAATGTTCCATGCGAGGAGCGGCAAGTTGAGGATCAGTGCCACCCAGTATCCGTTGATCAGAAATAGGAAAGTCAAGAATCCATGTACAGCAGCTTCGGGGATGATATAGGTGTTGAGACGGTTGCATAGGTCGATGGGGTTAATGTAGTCACTGAACAAACGACTGTTAGCCAAAAGATCCCACCAGAATAAACAAGAGAAACAATGACGTAGATCATAGGCGCATCCTGCGGAACGCAGATCTGGCCATGAGCTCCAACACCTCTCTCTCTCTCTCTCTTTCTCTCCAAGGTCTTGCACATACCATTCTAAATCACTATACATAATCGTAAAGAATACTTGAAGGAATAGGTTGACGGCATTTATTAGCACGGCGAAGAGGTATAACCACGCCTCGCCCGACATCTTGACAGTTGTACTTTTGGTGGTCTACAAGGGAGTTGTAACAGTATAGAATAAACTGTCGGATATGCAAATCTCTCGTTAACAGGTATGATCGAGCGAAGCTTTACGGAAGCTTTCTAACAGCGTTTAGCTAGACGGTGTCGGGCGCACGTCGAGAGGGTTGGACGGTCAAAATGGCGGGACCTAGAGTAGGACTTGAAGGGGAGAGAATGCGGAGATAAGGCTGCAGGCTGCAGGATTACGGTGGGTGGAAGTCGATGTTTTTGCGCGAGTATCACAGCAAATTAGGATAGAAAGATTTACGTGCCGTCGGAATGTACTGTAGACGGTATGTCGAAAAGTCCCCGCGATTAATTAAGCTGAGAACGGTGATTTGATTTATTTATCGGTAGTTTGAGAAATTTGGGGGAGGGCGGAGGTTTTGTGCGGGTGGATGATGAAAGCGGCTCGCGCGAAGCAAGAAAAAAAGCTTGCCTTCCTTTTGGGAGAAGAGGAGATTGGGCCTTGAAGCGGCGAAGCTTGGTGAAGCTTTCGGCTAAGGTTCCACCCACTAACACTGATGTTGTTGTATTCAGGTACATGGTACCTATATTCTTGATTCTATAGTGGACATACCCTCTAACGAACCCCCACATTGCACCCTGGGGGATGAAAAATTGGAAGAACAGCCACTAGTTTCTCTAGCAGTTGCCCTCTACGCTAGTGTAAAAGTGCGAAAAGGCTAGAAAGGAAAGGAAGAGTTAACTCTTACCCAAGTGGTTAGTGGTTGGTTAACAAGCTACCTGAAAAAGGGGGAGAGATTCAACAAGTATATCGCCCAACAATACAAGCCACATATATTCACATGATGCAAATAAACAAAGGAACTCGATAGGATGATTCTTGCGCTAAGATCACTTCGTCTTTTTACTATGCTACGACAAAACTTATCCCGGTAACATGCATCGCTCGTATTATAGACAAAGTTGTATCATAGCTCACCCACGAAGCTACTATGCGCTACCGTTTGCTGCGATTTCAGCGTTTGGTATCGGTATAGGTCCGCCAGGCGAGCTTTCCGTTCGCGCCGTTAATACTTCCACTCCAGTTTCGGTTACTAAGTAAGTGTGCTCTGAACTAAAGTTAGTTTGTTTATTGCGGAAGATACGAGTGTCGGCTTTACTCACCAAACTGAGCGGTCCTCTTGCCGTCGATCGTAGTGCTTGTCCAGTTGTCTGGCCAGGTAATGTCCCGATACTTGCCAAGGGCGATCATAGGTTCGATGGTGAAAGTCATACCAGGTTTACATTCTCCCACGGCCTTATTCTTCGCATAATGAGGCACGTTGGGTGGGCAGTGGAACAGAGAATTAACTCCGTGGCCGCAATACGTCCTAATAACGCTGCAGTTTTTCGACTTGGCATGTTTTTCAATAATGTTACCAAACTCTCGTATTAGAGTTCCCGGTTTTATGAGCTTGGCTGCCTCGTCTAGGCATTCTCGAGCCGTTTCGACTACCCGGACCGAGTCGGGATCAGCCTTAGCTTTGTCGCCCACGTAATACGTCTCGTTTAGATCCGCATGGTAACCCCCGTGGTAGAGCGAGACGTCAAGGTTGATAATATCGCCGTCTAATAATACTCGTTGGTCTGGAATGCCGTGGCAGATAACTTCGTTGACCGATGTACAGATAGATTTGGGAAAGTTGTTGTAGTTGAGGGGAGACGGATAACACTGCGGTAGTCAGTTATTGCCATAGGGATTCCGTACCTCAATAAGGCTATTCTTCTTACCTCTCGTTCTACGGAAGCCTTATGGCAAACTTCGTCGAGGTAATCGGTAGTGACACCAGGTCTCACTTCGGCCGCGACAATATCCAAAACTTCTCGCCCCAGCCTGCACACCTTACGCATAGCCTCTTGTCCCTTGGCATCGAGTAGGTCGATCTTATTCCTGTTGATAAATCGCTCGCTCTTGGGGTAGCCCGTCTCAGCATAGTCGGGATGCTGTATCGACTTGGGGACTGGGCGTGGTTTCGATAATGGATAGACAGGACGCAGCGATCCGGTATACGAGAAGGTAGGGAATGGGTTATAGAAGCCGGTAGCTGGATCAGGTTTAGAGACGACCTTTGGAGTTCGAATATGGTCAAGTATACCGTTGGCAGTCTTGCCCTGCGCGATCTTGTGCAGCGCCTTGTGATTATTCTGTAAGCGAATAATGTTAGTATAGAATATAAGACCGGAACCGTGGCTGAAGCATACGGACCCAATTCTTCTTGAAGCAATCTTGCGAACAGAAGTTGCTGTCCTTAATTCCTATCTTCAGACATGTAGGGCATTGTAGGGCAGAGGCATCATTTTCACAGTCTGCTCCCAAGCACTTTTTCTTGGTGGGTGGTTCGGCGGTCATGATGGAGGGGTTCGCTAGAGATCCGATACGAGAGATGGGGGCTGTCAAATAAGAAAAGAGGGAATAGAGAAATAATACGAACTATATGCGCGTATTTCTGATAGTACTGGAGGCAAGAGTCCGCGATATATGCCTACAATTTGGTAAATATCGTAGAACAATGTTGGCTTCTTGGTGGGATGTTATTTTATTCAATTTGTAGAAAGAAAGGCGCAAGGCGCAAAACGCAAAACCCTTTCCTCGAACTTTGGTACCTTGGGTACATGACCCCACATTAAACTACAGGACCAGTGGGACCCCGAGGGGTCGGCCTTGCCTACCTCGATTCATGCATTTGTAATACTCTATTAAAAGAGTTCAACATCAAAGGGGGTCTTATCAATACTTCCCGCTTCTACCCGGAACATATGATGGTGAGAAATTTCAACTTCGTCCGTATGAGGGACATCCGTAACCTGATTAGGGACTTATAGTTTGCCCATGCTGAGATATACTCTTACTTTCTTTCTAATATGTCGAGTCAGAAATATGTAGTGGTTGGTGCCGGTCCTGTCGGGTCGCTCGCTGCGCTGTATGCGGCGAAGAGAGGTCACGACGTTGAGATATACGAGCTTCGAGGCGGTAGGTAGTAAGATTCCAAGTAAATGTATCAGTCCAGGAGAAGCCATTCATTTCCTAATAAGCTGGTTTTGAGGCTTGTCATTATGAATCTGATACTAATGTAAAATAGATTTAAGAGATCCTTCAACAACGCCACTAAATTTCACGAAGTCTATTAATCTAGCTCTATCTGAAAGGGGCATTAATGCTATGAGACATGCTGACCAGCAAGATCTCCTCGATCATGTATCATCAGCGACTATTCCTATGCGAGGTAGAATGATCCATGGAAGGCGTCCGTCCGGTGAACTATTTGAAGAATCTCAGGATTATGATATCCACGGAAGGGTACTGCAGCATTCCGCTGTTAGTGAAACTGAATGACTCAACTAGCTGACATGACACTGTAGACAATATTTGCCGCCGACAGAGCCGATCTTAATAGACGACTACTGGATATTCTAGGCGCAATGCCGAATGTTAAATTTTTCTTCAATCATAAACTTACCGGCGCGGATTTCAAGCGACGCAAAGCATGGTTCGAGGTTCGCGGCCAGGACTCACCATCGGGTCGACCTGAAGAGATCGAAGTTTCATTCGACTTCATGATGGGTGCTGACGGAGCGCATTCGGCTGTCCGATATCACCTTATGAAGTTCACGCGAATGAATTACCAGCAGGAGTATGTCGATACCCTATGGTGCGAGTTTCAGATCAAGCCTAGGGAGGGAGATGAGCTTCACGATCAAAAATCGAAATTCCGAATATCCCCAAATCATCTTCACATTTGGCCGGGAAGGCAATTTATGTTCATCGCCATACCCAGCGAGGTATGAAAATTTATTTCCCGCAAATCGGCAATACTGACGGATGATAGGATGGGTCTTTTACCTGTACTCTTTTCCTACCAAGCTCTGAGTTCGCGAAATTAGAGGGCGACTCGTCCAAACTACCCGCGTTCTTCGATCAACATTTCCCAGGGGTAACTTCATTAATAGAGCCAAGTGAACTGGCCTCTTCATTCGAGACGAATCCGCATCTCCCTTTGATTAGCATCAAATGCCAGCCTTACCACTACTCTGGCTCCGTTGTCATCTTAGGGGACGCTGCACACGCGATGGTACCATTCTATGGTCAAGGTATGAATGCGGGACTCGAGGATGTCCGTATTCTGTTTTCTATTCTAGACAAGCACGCCACGGCCGAGAATAACAACCCAGACAACTCGGGCTCGGTTGACGTAGCCTTTCAAAGAGGATTGGCGTTAGCAGAATATTCGGCTATGCGCGTTGCTGATGCCCACGCTATCAACGACCTAGCTTTACAGAATTACGTCGAAATGCGCGCCTCAGTCCTAAGCCCGACTTATCGTATCCGTAAGTTCCTGGAAGAGTTCATGTCTGTCCATCTTCCAAGTCTGGGATGGCAGACGAAATATTCTCGCGTGAGCTTCGGAAACGAAAGGTATTCCGAGGTTGTCGCGAAGAGTAACCACCAAGGCAAAGTCCTCATGCGTGGATTTATTACGATACTATGCAGTCCCATCGTCGCGGGCGTTCTTGGCCTATATTGGACCCGACGTCGTTCCCTTGGCGGCGTATCTCTTCTTGACATGATTCGTAACTTAAGAAGATAATTTCATAGGTTCCAATTAATAAGATAAGGTCTTTCCATATTGGTTATATTAGCTGAGTGAGGAAATACAATACCCTAGGTTAAATGCTTATGGCCAGTCGACGTAGGGCTAAGTCGATATTCATACCTTATTGCAGATATTATCATACGTCTAGGGTCAAAGATGATAAGAATTTATCCCCGCGTATCATAAACTAATTGCAAGTATCAGCATAAAAAACTATGTATTTAAACCGGATTCAATTCTAGTCGATTGGTATTAATCGTCTAGCCTAGATATTTTCTATCTTGTAAGGTCATCTAAATAGGACGCCGCTGGCAAAAGTTTAGGGTCGTTCATGACCTCAAACTTCGATTAAAAGATGAAAAGCTATATTTCGGGTTTCGGAGTAGTCTTACTGCATGCTACTAATGACTTCATAGTCTAGATAGGTAGCTATTAATTGGCCCTGCGCTACTGTATTATGGCTGCAGTCATCGATGTGGGGTATGAACATGTGAGCGGACAAAGCGGACTATTAGCAGCGGAGCGGAGTCTCCAGCTTGTGAATGTTTGTTATATTGGGCTTCCCACGTGAGCGGACTTTTATTCAGAATCCATACACCTACACGATGTATTGGAAATGAACGGGCGACTCATGGGAAGGAGATATAGGTTAAACCAAGCAGCTAGACATGGCAATACGGCCAACCATGGTAAATACTGGAATAAAGGGGCGGAAGAGGCGGAAGTCCTGTCAATGAGTCATCTACTCAATTATTTGAAGTTCGAGGAGTAGTCCTACTACCTCGACTACAGACAACAATTGTCCGCAAGTCCGCTCTTATTATACCACAAGAGCGGATTCTCAGGCTTCAGCTCGCTATTCACCCATGGTATTAAGTGATCGGTCACTATTCCTTACCAAGATGGACCGTAGAGCTCAGTTTGCTTGTGTTACTTGTCGGTACGGTATCATCCTCTTCCTGTCTTGGGAATAGTCGCTTATACTTAATAGACGACTGAAACGGAAATGCCCCAAAGAACTGCCGTCTTGCTCATTGGTAGGGTTTAGAAAGGGTGATAGAGTTATTTATTACGAAGACTTACTTAGATCATCTCATAGTGCCTTAGACTCGAAAAGCAATGCGAGTATCCGTCACGAGTCCGGAACTTATACGAGAACACGTCTCTCGATTCATCAACTAGCTCTCAAGGCACGAATGAAGGAGCAGATCATCAAATATCGAGTAACACACCAACAGAACTAGAACCAGATTTTAACCCTGAACAAGATGCTGTCTTAGGGCATAAAGACGTCCATACCTTCCCGGCTATGTTTTTTCTAGAGGCTAAGGTTTGCATCAAGCCTTTAGCATCGGAACCTTGCCAAGCAAGAGGTTTCATAACACCCCATTGCAGTCTTTCACAAGAGGCAGATGCAACCTGCGAGAGATATTTCTCCACCGTCCACCGGTGGTTGCCAATATTAAGTAAGAAGCATGTCCGACGACATATTGCCGAGAACGAATTAGTACCTGATTGCCCCTCTCAACTTTTGTTTCTTTGCATGAAGTTGGTATCGGAACCGTTGCCGGTAGAAGTATCTGCTAGAGCGAATATACCTTACAAAAGGGCCTTAGAGACTTTGCTTGAAGTCGAAAACTCATGTCTTCCCTCTCTTCAGCTTCTCCAATCTGTCATCCTGCTGTCCGCTTATGAACTTGGTCATGCGATATATCCGGCAGCTTATTTGCATGTTGGACATGCTGCTCGGCTTTGTGTGATGATGGGATTTCACGATCGGAAGAACGCGAGCCAGCTGTTCAAAGATGCAATTACATGGACATCACGAGAGGAAGAACGCAGGACGTGGTGGGCAGTCTTTTGCCTCGACAGGTATTCCTGCTTCTGATCCCCATTATGCTAATAGCTGGCTCACCGTGTCTAGAATCACTAACCAGGGCATTAACGGATTACCCTTCTCAGCGCCCGAACCAAGTCCAGGAGAGTTATTACCGTGTCCAGAGGGCCCGTGGATTGAAGGCGGAGTTGGCTTTAACGAACCCCTTTTTGCGACTTCGTTCTCAAATAATACGAGTTTAGGATCATTCGCCAATATGTGCCAGGCAGCGCATGTCCTTGGTCGTGTATTGCGCCACCGCGACGAACCCCACAGTAGCCGTATATCCCTTGGTTTTCGGTTTTCAGAAGCAAGACAGCTTCATCATATCCTCACGTCCTTATCATCGCATCTAAGTGACATTTCCCAGGAGTCACTTTTGCTCGACAACTCTGTGCTAGTGCCCTTAGCTTTATGTTTCTCTGCGCGCCTCATTCTATATGATACATACGCGTGCAATGAGACGTATTCGACGGATTATGGTAGATCTTCTGAAGAAGCGGAGTTACAGAAGGAGTCTATGGCAGGAATCTTTGATGTTACTAGGGGTATTTGGCAACTCGCGTGTCAACTACTTGACTCTATCAATCAGGCTGGAGAAGACGGACCTGAGAACCTCAGCCCGCTTTTATGTCATTGCTTATACGCCGGAGCAGGTGAAAGCGAGTGGCTCATCCTCGAACATGAAGATTCGACTGCGGGTATATGGCTAAAAGACATCGTTAAGCTTCTTCGGGCTATTGGGAAACGATGGCAAGTCGCAGGTAAGTACAGTTTGTACCAAGAGAAAGATCCCCGAAGTCTAATATGGTATAGATGTCTACTTATCGCAGATCTACAAATGGCCTGGATACAATAGCTTGGGTATGTCATGAAGGATCACGCGGTACCGACCGAAGTACTGTAGATTACGTTGAAAGTAGTGATCTTGAGAGGATATAATTATTCAAGTAGCCTAAGTGAATCCCAAAAATTAAAATTCTTACACTGAATCGTAATATCAAAGTCGCCCTCGGATCTTAATCTCTAGCGATCTGATGAGGAGATAGGCTAAAAATGCTACGACGACAGCAAATTCAAAACCGAGATCTCCGGTCTTCTTTGCGATAGGTCCGGTGTACCAATCCGCCTGCATAGATGGGATTATGAACGCCCAGGCGATCAAGACAGATGCCAACGCACTTAGACCCGTCGGCAGCGCACGACCGTCGTTCCAAATCTTTGGGTCAAAGCTACTAGGGTCATTCTTTCGGAACCACAGGTACTCGGTCAAGAAGCACGTTACTGATGCCCCTGCGTAATAACCGATTATGCTAAGGAACGCCGTCACCGACGTGACGAACGATCTTGAAGCAGGGATCGCTACTGCGATAATGACTGCGGTAGCAACGACAGCTAACACGATACGAGGGACTCGACGGAGGATCGGCGCTACAGCAGTCAGGTTGAAGGAGATAGTATATACGTCGCGACCGCAAGTTCCGAGGACAGAAAGACCTAGGATAACAAGGACGAATCGGCCAAAGTCTCCCAGTCGAGTAATCAGTATGCTCCCAATCACGGCGCCGATTCCACCAGCTTTATACGCAGCTTCCCAAGAAGGGATAGTGAAGACAGCGCCACCGATCGCCGCGCCAAGGACCATAAGAAGCGAGAACGGTAATGCGATGCCGAATAGACAATATAGAGCAAGACGGAACCGCGGTGCGGTCGGTGGCATATAACATGCGTAGTCGCCCGCAACATTGCTCCAGGTAATCATGTTGCCGGCCGCAAAAGCCACGATGCCCATGTACTCCTGGGCAGTGGTACGCGTTGGCGGCGGCGTCTGCTGCCAAAGCTGGTCACCCGCGGCGCCGACGAGAATAATAATAGCGACGAGTGTCGGGATCCAGGCCCACCGAGTAAAGAAGTGCATTACACGATATCCCATAAAGCCGATGGCCAGCGATATGACCATAATGATGGCGATCGCGGCCTCGACAGGTAACGTACCTGGCCGGACGGCGGCGAGGCATTGCGCACCATTAATGCTACCGGTCACGGCGAAGCCGCCGACAGTAAGTGTCACGACAACGGATGTTAGAACGTTGCAGTATTTTCTATTTGCCTTTGCGCTTAGCATTTGACGTTCCTGGCTACATGTAGTAACTCATTGGATTCGATGAGCTTACCCAAAACAATACCGCGATTGGATCATCTGCCGCATCCCAGTAAGCGGTGCAATGGTGATGATGTATGCGGCTGGGACGGCGAATAGAAATTGGAGGAACACGATCATTAACGCCGCGTCGCGCAATGTCATCCCGAAACCGAGTGTTGTCGCTGACCCGATACCGATCCTAGAATTACATATTTCAGCTTCGTAGTCCTTCAAAATAACGAGTTATGTAAACCTATGTTACGCCAGAAGACTCACGGTAACAAGCTCGTCATCGACGTAGCGAATATGGTTAATACGTTCACATAGCGGGTGTCAGTTCGCTTCTCAACCGGCACAGGTTCGGCACCGCGCATTTCGACACCATGGCTAGACAACCCGACCCAGAACGACGACCGAGGGGCTTGAAACTGGTCCTTAGTCTCGCCGATATCACTCATCACCGCAGACGATGACTCCTTAGGGCCCATCTCTACGTCTTGAGCCAGATCTTTCTTCTCGACCGTATCATTAGCCATGATGTTGTTTTGTCGGCGCAGGTTGGCGCGTACCATCCGTCCCTTTTGTTTATCAACGGTTGCAAGCTACCTACCCTTCTATCAACACTGAGGCTCTAGGTGGATAGATGAAAAAAGAGAACCCGAGCCTTTTGGTTACCGACGCATCCATCCCGACCCGGATCCCGTTCCGCATTGTTAGTGCACGTAAGGTAGTATTATGCAGGGTGATGTTCTTGTTATAGGCAAGCTATTGGTCCAATAATCCGTTGCATTCGGGGTTAACACCAAATTACGTGGGATGAAGGCCCTGGCTTACAAGGGTAAAATTGATAGTGTCGATACACGGGTCAGTGATATGTTAATTTCGGCCCGAGCTGTCTTTACAACCTCCCTGCCTCCGTATTTATAAGCCGACAGGATTTACTAGGTACCTAGGTATGATCATAGGTTCAAGGGGGAAATACGACTGTCGAGTTTTCTTTTGTCCTTTGGGCTTGTCTAAACGTCCCGGTTGAACTTACAAGGTGTAGTAATCTAGTTTGGCTCCAACGAATAGTCGACTATCTTCCGATTGCAACTTAACTGGTCTGCTCGGACTCTGATACAGAGGTTTTGAGGCTAAATACAATAGAGACTGCCTGGGTTCTAGTCCAATCACTAAGCTGCTTAGCACTGAAAGAAACCTGTTGATTGGCCGTTACGACATTGAACTCATAGTTGAGGTATGTATAATATCGAAATGACTCTGTTAATCATAAGGTGCGACTACGAAACATGTTCCATCAAGCAACACCAGAGAGAATATTTAGAAAGATTTACTCTCTCATGAATATTCAGAGCCATCAATCCTAGTAAACCCTATACTCACAATGAAGGCCTTTAGTGTTAACCTCATAATATTCCTTGAGCTCGTATCAGCCTTAGCTGCGACTGCTGAAGGGGAGACTACATATCCTCCTTGTGGAACCCTGTCGACATTTTCTATTCAAAAATGGCCCGTCGATACTAACGACGACGCTGATTTCGGGTTTCGCCTGTCGACTGGCTTCGATGATTACACATCACTCTGCAGTGGACAATGGCGAGGTGTAGAAACCGAGTGGCAGGAATGCGACGAGAATTCCGAGGACTCTAACACCATGTTCAGGGGAACAGCTAGTGGATACCTCGATGTGACGCACAGGTACCTCTGCAAGCGACCGGATGAGTCTGAGGGGAGGAATGCTATAGCTCTGGCTGTTGCAAATGGCTCTGTATTACTCGATTTTTCCGAGAAGGATAGCCTTACTTTCAACGCGTATATCAAGACGATGCACCGGAGGCCCAACACAGAATGCGCGGATGCATCACACCATCCAAAGTGGATTGTCGATGGCTTCGACTGTGGTATCGGATACCTAAATACCCCTGGAGGTCCAGGGCCGGGCGGAATCGCTGGAGTTATTGCCTCAGTCAGTTTTGATTTTCTGAACGAGGCGAATGTTCTTCGTGCTTCAGAATTAGGTACCTACCTTAGGTACTTAAGGTAGTTCTTATTTATTGCTCACATCCTATCAAAGCGGGAGTTAACAAGGTCTAGACTGCTACCGCCGTCTACATTCATATAGTTTAGGTACGTTTTATTATTGTTTAAACGATGTTTGCTTTGCCACAAAGACATTGTCGAGCACCTTACAGTCTATGATTTGCATAGTAGCAAGATATTTCCAGTCATGAAAATGCATAGGTAGTTCCGTTACCGACTGTCGAGACATAACTGTGTTTCTTTGTTAATGCCGTGGGACATTTAATCAAAGATAGTGACCTGTAACAACTAAAGTGTTGTCAAACAGTTACAGGTGAGGCGGGTAAGCCAGTTTATATAGAAACAATGTTAAATAAATAAACTATGGGATTGTACTAATGTAGTATATAAGGACGCGCCACTATCCAGCTTGTCGTATTAATTTCATCGTAGCATGCATCTGCCACTACCTGGGTACCTACCATACTTCTTAACATTCTAACTTTGATTATTAAGAGTAGTTACAGGTTTCAGCCGGACCATTTCCCACCAAAAAGACAAAATGGCGAGCAACAACGGACCTAAACGCCAAGTCACCGTACGAGAAGCTTTGCTCCGAACAAAGACTGAGACGCCGCCAAAAGGGTCTGGGTCGAAACGAGTAGGCTTTCTTCGAAACCTATTCCAGAAACTCGGATTGAACAAGAAAAATCCGCAAGGGGGCACGGTCTTGCCTGAACGCACTGCCCTTGAGGTCGAGGTCGAGGATGCTAGCTTTCCCGCTATAAATGTGTTTGATGATCCTACTGAATCCTTCATAAGATCAGATGGTACACCATTAGTGCGCGCAAGATCGGTGCCAACGACAAATTATCATAGCACTCAGGTTCTATGGGAAGATGTGAGCACAATTTATTCATTCCACTGGAAGCCTCGCAAGGTGACATCCATTGGAGATGTTCAAAATCTAGAAATCGAAAGCCGTATGGAACATCTCATTATGCGTTGCGCCATGGATGGTTATGAAGTAACCCCTCAGGAGTCTTACGACGTGCTACTATTAGTAGAAGGGGCTGTTGACGAGGCTGTTGAATACATGAAGGTGTTGAGAGACTTTGATAGCTAGCCCTGTCTACCTGATTGCCTATTATTAGAATAGCATCAGCTATAAGGTAAGGTTAACCTTTTCATGGTAGGTTAGATTAGGTAGAAAAATCCCCCCGTAGAGAGGGTCGTTTTAACACGGTGAGTTTATTTCACACGAAGTGTTATTTATTAAGTTAAGAGGTATGTACCTAGGCTATAAGTGATTTGTCAGTGACTTGTCGGTGACTTGTTAATGACTTGTCCTAGTTCCGATTATATGATCGTAACTCGGCCGACTTCGTGTGAGCTGGTCGGGTTTACCTCCGAGTGCCTCGGATTTAAGGCAGAATCACGAATAGAGGCGGATATTTGCCTGGGTATGCAACCTTTAGGATCGTATAAAAGCACGACCTGAAATGCGCCTGTTTGCCTATGAATATTCTGCTATCTAATGTGAGCATCTTTCCGCTGTAAATCTCTTCTTAGCAGCAGATTCTTGAACTTCTGAATCGCAGGAGATATTAAAATGAGCTCGATCTTGTCTTCGAAGCAGGAGGATGCGGGCTTGGTGGAAGACTATCGGCAATGGAAGGCAATGGGCCAGGGTGGTACATCGCGTAACTGGACCGGATACATGTCTCAGGTTGCCGCCGGGAAGACTAAGGCATTTGGTGCCGACGAGACGATCAAGCCTGGCTTCTATGAAAACCCTGAGAAGCGAGCCACCGGATGGAAGAAGGCCACAGAGCAGCAGAAAGCTAATGCTCGGAAGTCGTTTCTAAAAGAAACTCTTCCGATACGGCCGGGTCCCCGGGCTAAGGCGAAACCCTATGTGTTCCCTCAGCGTGAGAGGAATGCCGACCACCCTCAGGATCCAGCAGTCAAGCAGGTATATCTACTGAGCGATATTCTACGCTATGTAATTTCGTGACAAAAGAAAAGCCCTGCTAACAAGCACCTGTCAAGGCGTATCTGGAGGCTTTCGATAAGCTGTGTGAAATCAACACGGATACTGAATGGAAGACGTCAGTGCTCGAGAAACACGGCCAGGCGCTGTTCGTGAAGAGCTCAGTCCCGCTTTCGCCTCTGGTCGGTCCGTCTTCTCGGGAGATCTGCCACATCCACAGCACAGATCTGTCCGGTCACGTCACCTTGTCATTCATAGATGCGGAGGATGTTATATCGAAAGGTTGGGGGGAACGTCACCGCTTGAGCGGTACAGACTGGATCCACATAGGCTTCACGATGCTCTATGTGCCGAACACGATAGAGGAAACAGAAATTCTTATAAAGATCTTCCAGGCCGGCATTGATTATATGAAGAGCGGTTAACTTACAGATTCTGGGTACGTTCAGGGCTGATGCATTGAAATCAATATTTGGCAAGTTAGTCCGCTATATAGATCTCCTTGAACCTCTTCGTGTTGGCCGTAATTGCGATCTCTACCGGGATACGTTCCATGCTGCTCGCACCATAAAATCCATGCACCCCCTTCGTTCGGGAAAGGACATACTCCGCATCTTTAACCTCGGCGATTGGGCCGCCGTGGCATAAGACGATTATATCTTCCCTTACCTTCATCACCGCGTCTCTAATATCTTGGGTTAACTTGACACTTTCGTCTAGAGTCTTCCCTGTCTTCCCTCCGATACCCTTGCTAGTTGTTAGGCCCATGTGCGCGACTATGATATCAGCACCGGCCTTTGCCATGCTAACTGCCTCCTCGGCATTAAATGCGTAGGGTGAGGTGACGAGGCCCATCTCCGAAGCAATCCGTATCATCTCGACCTCGAGTTCGTAGCCCATCCCAGTCTCCTCTAGGTTTGCCCTGAAGTTTCCATCTATGAGTCCGACGGTAGGAAAGTTCTGAATGCCGCTAAACCCCAACTCCTTTAGTTGCTTTAGAAACTGCCGCATATCTCGGAACGGATCTGTTCCGCAGACACCGGCGAAGACAGGCGTATGTCGAACGATAGGCAGAATTTCCCGAGCCATGTCGACAACGATGGCGTTCGCATCGCCATAAGGTAGCAGGCCTGCAAGAGAGCCTAGACCGGCCATCCGGTAGCGGCCTGAGTTGTAAATAATGATAAGGTCGGCACCGCCAGCCTCAACAAATTTGGCAGAAAGGCCAATTCCAGCCCCAGCGCCGACAATTGGGCGATGAGAAGAGATAACTTCCCGTAGGCGTTGGAGAATCTCTTGGCGCGAATAGAATACCATGATTTATGATAACGGGTATAGTTTTGGGTGTGACTTGTGACTTGTGATTTGTACGACTTGAGTTCCCGTCTTCACCTCACACAAGGAGAGGGGCTTTAGATAAGATAAGAATGGTTAAAGGGTAGGTAGAATGCCGTTAAAAACAGAATCTATGTAGGAAGGTGCAATCGGAGAATATATATAGGTACCTAGGTAGGTATCTATGTGGCGCACGTGTAGAGCGAGCATCTCCTCAGTTGTGAGACCATCGGGTATTATACGTCATGCTTAGCTCAGATTTATCAGAGCAATCTTTCTACCACTTCGAAGCTCAAAAGGTCCGCCATGCCTCCATTGAAAACTTATATCGCCGTGATTGGCACACTTGATACTAAACTCGAGCAGTTTCTTTATCTCAGATCCCAAATTCTTAAGAATGATCCTTCGCTGGCTGTTATCCTAATTGATGCGGGCCGATCCGTCATAGAACATGACGCTATAACTATCAAGCAACATGAAGTATTAAAGGCTAGCGGGTTCCAAGGAGGGGACGGCGCTCTCATGTTACTTCCTCGGGGCGACCTCATCAAAATTATGATTAAAGGGGCTATTGAAACAGTTAAGCAGCTCAAAGACCGCGAAGAGATCCAGGCTATAATTAGCCTCGGCGGTAGTGGGGGGACTAGTATCGCTTCTGCCGTCATGCGAGAGCTTCCTATAACATTCCCAAAGTTGATCGTGTCCACTGTCGCCTCTGGTGATGTAAGCTTCTATATCGCAGAGACTGATATTACTATGATGTACAGTGTGGTGGATATTGCAGGTCTGAATGAGGTATTGAAGGCGGTAGTGGACAACGCTGCGGCGGCAATCGTGGGCATGGCTAAGGCATATGCTAAGAGAATTGGGAACGGCCATAATAATATCAAGGCTACTAAGAAGGGGATCGGAATCACGATGTTTGGTGTTACTACGAAAGGGGTAGATGCTATACGCAAGTGGTTAGAATCCCACGGATTCGAAGTCTATGTGTTCCATGCTACGGGGTCCAGCGAGCGGTCGATGGAAAGACTAGCTAAAGGAGGTCGACTCCATGGCATACTGGATCTGACTACCACCGAGCTGGCCGATGAATTGGCTGGTGGCGTGTTCAGCGCCGGCAGTAGCAGATTGACGGCTGCTGCCAAAGCAGGCTTGCCTCAAATAGTCAGCGTCGGTGCTCTGGATATGGTAAACTTCGGACCTAGGGATACCGTGCCAAAAGAATTTCGGGGGAGGAAGCTCATCGAGCACACCCCTTCGGTAACCATAGTGCGAACAACAGAGCGAGAATGTGAAGAACTAGGGAAGAGAGTAGCACAGAGGCTTAAGGAGAACTGCATTAGGCCCGAATTTACAGAAGTATGGCTTCCTTTGAGGGGCGTTAGCGCTCTTGACGTAGAAGGACAGGCTTTTTACGACAAGGTGTCCGACGAGGCGTTATTTACGGCTATCAAGAATGGTCTTGAAGGGAGTGGGATATCGGTCAATGAGCTTGACACCGATATCAACGACCCAGGTTGGTCAGAGAGTATAGCTAAAAGGCTCAGCGAGCTTATTGAGCTGAAGGGATAAAGTCGGAAATTACGGGCGATAAACTATGGTTATCTACGGCAATCCAGGTAGAACCCCTGTACGATCATAACAAGATGATTCAACTTCATAGAATCAGCCGTAAAAGTTATCCATCATGTCCTTAAGTTACTGGGCATCCTTAACCGCCTCAGCAAGAAGTCTTTGAGCCTTCTCAGATCTGGGTCTGAAAACTACATCGAGCTTGCCAGGATGGCTCGATAGTCCAGTGCTGAATTGGATAGTTTGTTCAATAGGCTTGCCATCTGGCCCGACAGGTTTCGATATGTCAGTTGTGGCTATGAGAGTCGCCATAATTATCCACACCGACGCTTGTGCTAAATGGCGCCCGACGCATACTCTACGTTGCTTATTAGAGATCCACTCGCAGTAATACGATCAGGTATATTTTAACTCACCTGCGACCGAAGCCAAATGGGCCAACGAGTAGAGGTTCGCCATCCCCGCCTTCTTCCTTTGGGATATATCTATCCGGGTTGAACTTCTCGGGGTCCTTATACACGTTGGAGTCTCTAGACATGGCGAATGTGTTGTAATAAACCACAGTCCTAGGAAGTTAATTAGCGAACACTCTACACCAACTTCTGGACTAAGCACATACCCTTTAGGGATAAACATTCCGTTGTAAATGTCGTCTTCTAGGGACCTATGAGGTATCCCAATGGGTGATAGGGGTCTCCACCTTGAGACCTCCTCGACTAAATAGTCAATGTAACGTAACTTTGGCCTGTCTTGAAACGTAGGTAGTCTTTCTGTTCCAACTACCCTATCAACCTCGGCTCTCGCTTTTTGAAAAACTTCAGGATTCAGCATCATGTTCAGGATAGCAATAGTCGTCGTAGCGAAGGTCTAAGAAATATTGTAAGCTTTTACGATTTTCCCTTGATGGGTACCCAGATAGAGAATGGAAACTAACCGTGTTAGAACCCGCGATAAAAACGGCGCCAGATGCACCCTGGATATCTCGAAGTGTAAGTTCATTAGTAATACCTTCCTCCTCATTTTCTTTATGCTTAGTGAGGAGTGAATATGCAAATGATGGGTTGGCCGTCCCCTCGTCCTTGCCTGTGTTAGCGGTGACATGGGAGGCAACGTAGCAAAAAGACCTACAAACTCCTTTTTTATAGCTGAAAACGGAATATCGTGTAAATTTTTAATGGCCCATCCCCATTTTCGCGCGTGTTGTAGGCTTCTTGAGAAATTAAGAAACTGTGGGATGTATCGAACTTCATGACTTGTTAGTTGCACTTCCGTAGTGTCTTCTCACTAGGGGACATACATGACGGTAGATAGTCAACTAAGGCAGTTCCCGGATTTCCTCCTCCTCCGGTCGCCATATTAGCATCTATCGCGATTTTGATATATGGGTCGTCATCTGATCTAACTGTAACGCCAAATCCGATACGAAGAACTATCGCAGAAGCAAAGCTTCGCTCTGTATTAGCTATAGAACAAGACTCTAACACGTCACCATACTTACCGCCGAAGTGAAAAGTCCCAAGCTTCTGGGCGCTTAAGAATTCTTGAAACTGCTTGCCTCGCTTCATCTTCCTGAATTGGTCTGTAATTCGTGATCGCCGTCTTCGTGAAACCCGTTTGTAAGACTGACCGATGCAAACGAAACCTCGGTCCGTATGGAAGGAAAGTTAAGGTTAAACCCCATCCCATAACATCAAACAGGACAAATCTAGGTCTGTCTTGATAATTGGCCCCGCGCTTATCCAGAAGCTCATTCGCAGCCTTCTGGGTGTTAAGGACGACCATATGGTTGCCCAACACATTGAAATAGATGATATCAGAGCCTAGAATCCATTTAGTAATAGCTACAACATGGCAGTTGAGTAAGTTACTCACCATACTGCTTGGCATATTCCATATGCTTAAAGTGGGCATTTTCCGTTGGTAGCCTCCTGAAATGCCCGAGGATGGGCTCCGCCGGAGGAGACGGTGGAAGTGGACATGGAAACCTTTGATACAGAATTCTAAAAGCACTATAAAGAAATACCCCAGTGACGATAAGCACTACGCCTAGGCGTGTAGGTGACTCGACGAATGATTTAGAACTGTCCATATTGGACAGTGCTACCAAGACCTCTTGAATTTGGAATGGCCCCTCCTTTACGTGTACATAATCATGACCCTGGTCGTCTTCGTTCTTATAGTTGGGGATCATCTTGCTATTTCCATATTAGGTAACCCGAGTAATGCTGACTTCAGATTGAGTCGTGGCTCGAAACTAGTTGCTGTCATAGACTAGCTTAGGCAAATTTTTAAGAGTGTGGATATCGATACTCTTTCGTTTGTGACAAGAGACGAAGATGGGGTCAACTCGTTGTCCGGAAATGTCATCAATGTACCCCTGAATCCCAGCCCTATACCCCGCCACGGCCAATAATATGGCTTTAAACAAATAACTTGTACAATCTGTGTTGGGTTATTGAAGACGCGCCACGCAAGCCACGTAATGCAGCCATGTGGAAATATCTACAGGGGTTCGTACCATTTAGAAGCCAGATTCCCGACGTTCAACAACAACGAGAGAGTAGGAACGACCACTAGAAATCTACCCAGTGGGTATCTTGCACACTCAGGTAACTATCACGGCAAGATACAGGATCTTCCTGGAAGCATCGGGGATATTAGAGTTGAATAACAGCTCTATTTTGTTGTTTCTTATTATCTACTTTGAATAGTTCTCCCGCTTATGACTATTCCATATTTACGTCTATCAGTCATCCCAATATAAATCGGCTTTAACACTATACATAGTGTGGATCCTAGCTTTGGTATACACCATGTCACTCATCCTTAGTGTGGTGGTGTTGCCGCATTATTAACTCTATCCAGTTAAGACCTTTACATCATATGTGTGCCATCCTTGCAAAAGATTATAGTCTTCGGCCGAACCGGTCAAGCATATAATTAGTGACTAATGCACCAAATATGAAATACTTGGAGTGGACTCTTAAATGACGTGAAGTCCTATTCTACTCCCTCCTAATGCTCTTACCTCTTTAAGCCTTCTTTAACATAAGACATTGGGGCTGTTAAGGAGCTATATCTAGTAACATATTAGTGTTCCAACTAGCTGAATTACTTTTGTCTCTTCGCAACTCTTCCTATACTACCTATCATGACCGCCCGTTGGTCTCTTGGTCTCGTCTCACTGATTGTTCTTATAGTTGCCGTTGGAGTTCATAACAGCAACTATGGTGACGTTGGTCAATGTCGGTCTATCCCCGGTGATCCTTCATGGCCAAGTGAGGATGATTGGGATGGATTAAATCAGACAGTTCAGGGGAGGCTAATTGCTAACACACCTCTTGCGGCTGCTTGTCACCACTCTTCTCTGGACGGGACTGATACATATGACCAAGAGAAATGTGATGCGCTACGCGATGCGTGGTTCTTCCCCGAAACACACCTAGTCTCGCCGTCATCGCCAATGGCCTATCAATTTACCAATAACAGTTGCAACCCCTTTCTGGACCCAGATTATCCGTGCAGCCTTGGATATCATGCCGAATATACCATCAATGCTACATCTGCTTCTGATCTACAGGCTGCTGTTCGCTTTGTTAAGCGCCATAATATTCGCCTCGTTATTCGCAACACTGGTCATGATTATCTGGGTAAATCAACAGGAGCATACGCTCTAGCAGTTTGGACTCGTCACATGAAATCTATGGAGCATATCCCCAAATATGAACTCCCACAGTCGGAGTATCAGGGCCCTGCTTTTAAAGTAGGCGCCGGTATCGAAAATATCGAGGCTTACAAATTCGCCAATTCCCATGGCCTTATGGTGGTCGGTGGCAATTGTCCGAACGTTGGTCTGGCTGGAGGCTATACACAAGGCGGTGGCATCTCCATTTTGTCGTCTAAATATGGCCTCGCCGCGGATCAAGTATTGTCCTGGGAAGTTGTGACCGCATCTGGAGACCTTGTTACCGCCAGCCCGGCCGAGAATACAGATCTTTTCTGGGCTTTACGCGGCGGCGGCGGAGGCACTTACGGCATTGTAGTTTCCATGACCGTCAAGGCACATCCGGACACCTTTTTCTCGGCCGCCTATATGAATGTCTTTAACGATGGCAATAATACAGATGCCATCTACTCGTCGTTAGGAACGTTCTTCCAGTCATTGCCCAGCCTTGTCGATGCTGGCGCTTGGGTCGTATGGGTTGCCGCTCCTTTTGGGTTCATGATCATACCGGCAATGGTCGCAGGCTTACATGCCGAGGAATTGGACGCGTATCTTCAACCTACGAGAGAAAAAATGGATCAACTTGGGCTTCAGTATCAATATTCCTCCGCCGAATATCCTGGTTTTATCGAAAGTTACAATTCCATACCCTCTATGTGGAACGTGTCGGATTTTACTTTAGGCGGTCGTCTGATGCCCCGCGAGCTTGTACAAGATCAGGATAGCACTGATGCTTTGGTAAATGCTGTACGCACTATCAGCTCCCAAGCACTCATGTCTGGAGTCTCTTTCAATGTTGCCAATGCCGTTTCATCACCCAGCGATATCGCTGCCAACCCTTACTTCCGCAAGACTCTTTTCAGCGCTGTTGTCGGCGCGCCGATCAACTACACCGACTGGACAGCGACCAAGGCAGCGCAAGATCAAATAACATACAAACTCTTGCCGGAACTAAAGGCCCTTACCCCCAATGGGGCCGGCTATCTTAGCGAAGCTGACTTCCAGGAGCCTGACTTTAAAACTACATTTTACGGTGCTCATTATGAGAAGCTCCTAGACATCAAGCAAAAGTACGACCCTGATGACATCTTCTACGCTAAGACAGCCGTAGGGAGTGACCGATGGGATGAACGGGTAGATGGGAGGTTGTGTACGAAGCCTAGTATTTGGGATTTTGACGTACTTAACTTAATAAGGCGATATGTATGAATTAGAAGGGGTAAACATGTTCGTATAAGTTTATTATCCGGAATTATAGATTCCTGATTGAGATGTAAAGTCCCCTTAAGCTTCCTTTGGAACCTGGATAGCTTTATTACTCCAATGATATCTAATACCGAAGTCATAAACTTTAGCATGGTGATATCAGGGTGTCTATTCGTTTTGGCGGTCAAGTTTCCCTAATTGTTGCGAAAACGTATGGCAAGCCAGGCGATGGCAAGGGGTCGAGTTGCATTTGGTCTCCAAATACGAGGTTTTGAGGGGATGTTATAGAAGATAGCACCACTCCACAAGCATTGTTACTTGCCGAGCCGGTCTTGGCTTGCGATTAATAGGAAGCTGATAATTTGTTATGGCTAGAAGCTCGTATATACTCGGGTATATAAAGCCTCGATAACTTGCGACTGAAAGACGAAATACGATGGTCTTACCACGCCAAACACTCCTAGTCGATTAGACGTGCCTATATCCATCTATCTATCTCAAAGGCTCCCAAAATGCGTGTTCCTACCATCGCAACTCTCGCTGCTATCGTCGCGTTCGCGACTTCGACTCCTGCGCCTCAAGCAGACCCCCCTGAGACCGACCTTTGTCTCCAGCGGAAGTTCCTGTCGTCGAACTTATGCTCAGATATCGACTCTACATACACCAATGAGACTTTACCAGGTCTTGGTTGGTATTGCTGTTGGTACCAGGGGCCCTTCGCGCCTCCACCAGCTTTGCCCGTGTCGTAAGTTACCAGAATAAAGCTGTCGTATATTCTATTATACTGATGTATGTACGAATAGGGCGTGGTTGACGTTTGCGGAGGACGGCTCAGTTGCAAACCGTTGCTTGGCTCGTGGAACTTGTAAAGAAGGTTTACCTGATGGTCGTAGCTAAATCAGAAGAGTACCTTCAAAGGCATCAGAAGATATACGGCAAGACAAGCGCATGGAAATAATTTATTTATTTTACCAGTGATGATATAGAAATGTTCTATGTTGTGTTAGTTAAAAGTATGTACCTAGGTACCTGTCTTATGAAATAAAGTGATATTTCGTTATCACCTATATCGACATATATTATCACGTGATCATCATTAGTAAAATCCAAATGGTCCCAAATTTTATTAGTGGGTCTTCTTGGTGGGCTGTTTTTAGAGGTACGAAGTACTCGACACTTACAAGACTGCAAGAAAAGTTACCAGTTACATACTTCTTAAGTTGACAAAGACAGAGAACGCCAACCGAATCGGCCTTCATTTCTTGTATACCACGGCTCGATAACCACCGAATGAGATATCTTTACAAATATCTCCATACCTCAATTCTCCAGTATGACGACTCCTCCCAGTCCCAAGCACGCTGCCGGCCCTCAACCAGCTGCGCAACGAGCGCAACGAGCGCAACGAGCGCCGAGACCTATCTTACCAACACCCACCCGAGTGAATCCCTCGAGTCCCGAATACAAGCGAGCTGCTGGAAAATATACCCAGCTGATGGTTGCTATGCCAATCTTGCTGGTTACGTCGTGGTATTTATTCGACCGACTTGTCTTAGGCCATGAGCCGAAAACACTACCTAAGAGAAACGCGTTGGATGCGACAACAACGGAACAGAATAGGGGTTGAAGACAATTCTCAACAGTTTTGACTAGCTCAAAATACTTGGAATTCCATTACGGTATATTCAATGCCAAGTCAACATGTGTCGGCATGCAAGCCACGCAGCTGCGCTTGTCCCGGTCCTCCAGAGGCGATAGTCAGAAAGTCACGACAAGCGCTTGTTAGATTTTAACAATTTGTTTATCCCTGATAGTATTTGCTAGTGAATATTTTCTAGGGAACGAGCTAGTAGACATCGACATTGTCAAATCACGTCCTTAGCTGCTGAGAGGGGGATATTCGACAACACTAGACAATGAATCTGTATTGTCTCCTTATTAGATGGTTTACAAAGGCAAAGTCTGATTCACTCTTTGACTCTTCGTCAGAAGGAAGCATGGCCACTCGCAATTCATCTTGGATCTTCACAATACCGTTGATATAAAAACCTCGTCTTCCACTTCGGCCAGCATGTCTTGTAGGATGTTGAACCCCATACAACAACACCAAAAACCAAAAGCCAAAAACCTCCCACCAACCAATAACGAATACTCTATCGCGGCAATCATGAAGACAAGTTTCGCCTCCACTCTGGCAATTCTGCCTATCCTCACTACCATCTCGGCATTTGAAGTGGCCGACATCTATAAGACCACCCTTGGCAAGTCGGACTGTACTGATATCCACTTGACGGAAGGGCATGTCCTCCATGCTAATTGCGTCAAGCCCGGATATGGATCTCGCGCGGATTTCCAACTTGATCTCAATTCATGCCTTGCCAACTACTTGGGTTCGCTAACCCATGTATCAAATGGCGGGTTCAGTGGTTCGTGCAAGCCTTGCCGCATCGACGGCACGAAACTGATTTGCGAGTGCTCAATCGACGAGTGTCTCGGTACTAAGCATAATGAAGTTGAGCTTGACGATTGGGATTTTATTCAAGTCCACGAGGAGTCTTTGACTTGTGCTACCCTAATAGGTCTTGAAATGAGAGACACCAGTAAGAGCGCACGATTCTTCACCGCTTAAGTTATGGACTTTCCTTATATCTTCGGCCATACCTTACCTTAGGTAGTGTATGATTTGTTAGGAGGTCCAGTTTAGCATCATCCCAAATCACCTGTACATCTGGTAGAAGAAGGTTACCCATGGTTTCGGGCAGATAGGCTTATAGCTCTTGACGTGAAAATAAAGTTACCTTTTATCACACACAGTTCGCATCGTTCGTTCGCATTATTAATGAGAGATACAATTTGAATGTTCCTATGGTTTTTCCAACAAGTTGTGGTTCATGTGATAAATACTAGTATTTTGCTCCTTTATTGCCCAAACCATCCTACCGGCTTGACATGTCAGCGTATTACTCCTAGACTAAGTACCTGCCTAGGTAAATAGAGAGTTTCTCTAACTTAAGTAAATATGACATGCTATATATTATTGACACCTTGCTTCGCATCACGTAGACTTCAAATTCCGTACGATATCGGTCACGTTCTCAACCCCCCGAATAAACCCACAGCCACGGAGCTCTTTAGTGTGTTACTCTTCGTACTATTCCGAATTTCTCAACGTGGTAGGGTTATTCAATTTTCCCGATGGGTTTTTAATAACGGGTACCGTAGAGTAGGTATCTAACCTATTATTGCTATGAGACAACTGATCATTATTCTCCTATTGTCGTAAAGATTATAACATATATTATTAAAGGTCACTTATAATAGCCTTGACTCTACTATAAAAGAGCCTTTGTTCGCGGCGATAAAGAATACATTGTTTCCAATTCCTCTTTAAGAAGCCTTCTTAGGTCGGCTATGATAATTCCTTGCCTTCGCGCTAAGATTCCTCATATTTAAACCCGCCGCTGCTAAATCTCATGAGACATGTGAAGGTCAGGAGCAGTTTTAGGGGAATTTGGATTCGCGTTGTACCGTAACAAAATAATTAGGAACTCAGAAGCTACTATAAGATACGAAATAGGAGCAAAGATAAGATCTCCGGTTAGGCTCATCATGGAATCTATTTCTACTGTTGTCATGGCTTCTGAGATACAGTTCCTTGCGGGTCTTACGACGCTGAATGTTGTCATGCTTGGCGCTGTCCTTACCGTCGCTTGGAGGAAAAGAATGTACAGCGCATAAATAAAGCCGCCTGGTGCGGATATGCTGCAGTTTGGCAGTAAAGTCAAGTATACCTAAGTTAGCATGGCATCTCAATGTCACAGGTTTATAGGTTATGGTAGATAGTAATTGAACTGTAATTCCCCGTGGCGGCATAAACCTCCATGTAATCATTTTATAGTCGTTAGCCATAAGACAATTCTTGATTTGCACACTTTTCCGACTCCTTACAACCGTCCCTAATGGCCTTCTAGTAAGTACTGCGAAGTCCAGGGACCTATTAAATTTAAACTGCCACTCTTCAGTAAAATGGCTCGCCTTCAGCAGCATCTACTCCCTCCTCGACACACTTCTTGACAGCAGCCTCTGGATCCTCATCACCGTCAATCAGGTCAAACCAGCCACTCTTAACGTTGGGGTCGTCCAGCAGTAGCGCAGTTATCTGCGCGACAGACGCGCGGCTTGCAGTACCCGAGACGGGGAGCTTTCCAAGCTTAACCTTACCCGCCGGTTCTGATGTTAATATGCCTGGGCGAAGATTGATCGCGGCGAAGTCTTTCCTCTTCTTCCCTTCCTCGTATAATACCTGATCGGCTGCTATCTTAGCTTGATAGTACGTTTTCAATACGCCGTTATTCATTTCTAGAATATTTTGCCAGACCTCTTCGGACCACCATGGTGCCTTCTTTAACCGGGACCCAAGGTACGAAATCATGACGAACTTGGTGATTGATGATGTCGCGGCTGATGCGCGGATGAAGTGAATTGCAGCATCACGGTCAATCTTGAATGTCTAATGAAGAGTTAGCAACGACGATATAGAGACTTAAACTCAAGTAGTTTTAATACCCTCTCTGGCCCTCCTTTGCCCGCGGCACCAGCACTCCACACCACATAGTCTGGCTTCACTTCATCTATGATGCTCTTAGCCTGAGCTTCGCTTGTGACTTCCTCCAAGCTATGGACTAAGACGTTCAGGTTTCCTTTCTGGCCTTGTCCGAGCTTCTCCAGGCTCGCGACCCGCGCGGGGTCGTGGATAATGCTAGTGACATTCCATGATCGTTGGAGGAGTAAGGGAGTTAGTAGTTGGGCAACCTTGCCGGTACCGCCGAGTAGGAGAACGTGGTGAAGAGACGACATTGCTATGATTAACAGGTAGCTATGTTTATGTGAGCATGTATACGACCTATATCTATTGAAATATTAATAAAGCTCTAACCTACCTCCTAACATATGTCGTGCTTGTCTATGTATGTCATATATATCATACCCCACATCACGCGATGGTTTTCCCTTGCGTCATTGAAAGACACAGTTGAATAATAATATATCACACGGTGCTTATATCCGAGAAAGAAGCAATTTCAAAGGGACTTTAATCAAGGGAGCTTATTCAGCCTTCGTTTCTCATTACTACTTTTAGGAAGTTAAATATTGTTCCTAATATATCTCTCATCTAATCGACAGTTCCCTCAGCTCCTTGATGCCATATTCTCTAGCGGTGTTACTGTACCATCCAGGCCAAAACCAGCCTGTGATTCCGATCCTTCGGTTCTCAAGATACCGAAACGAAGCTTGGTATCGCGAATAGGATGCGGTAGAGGCTTTGCTCCAAGAGTATTATCTGTGGATAACCTATCGAGATCAGGGTTTCTAGTCGTCAGAAGCACCGCGGAGAAGGCCGTGCTACTAGTATAACCGTTGCTTAACAATGCGGCGAACCCCACGCATATACAGAGCAGCGTGACCACAACGGCGGACGAATATGTAGCCAGGAGAGTGATGCTATTATAATAGAAGAAGTTCCTCGGCATTGATACGGTTATCGGTACCTCGGTCGTAAAATTTCGCCAGTTGCTGTAAGTCAGGAGGCTGTACGTAAAGTTTCTAGAGAGGCTTTCGATCGCTGTTGCGAGTGTTCCTCCTTGGCATCTATTGAGCGATTGAAATGCGAGGGAACCGCCGGAAGCACTCTGGTAGCCTGTAGAATTCCAGATTTCGGGGCAGTCCGTCAAGCCCGACTGGAAAAAAGGAGCTTCTCCAGCCTCAACGATATTGCCCTCATAGCCATCCGACTGAAACATTAATTCCCCTTCCACATTAATCCGTACCTGGCCAGTTAGGAAGCGTGTGAAGATGTATTGCACCATGTAATAAGTCGGACAAATCGTAGCGTTATTTGCAGCAGGATCAGGAGCACAGAGGCCGTTAGCTAATACCATAGATAAACGCCCACGCTCATTATCCCACTCTTGGGAATCTACATGCGCGATAGAGTTCTCCTGTATAGACTGAACTCCATTGTCGAAGCGCATGGTTACGCTATAAGTGGTGTTGTAAAGTTGGCAAACCAGATAGTTGTGATCGGTATTACCCCACTGCTCGTTGCGACCGTTGGCGCCGACGAGGATCATATTATTCATACTAGTAGGAGCAGTACTTTTATAGACTAACGGTGGCGCGCCGCTAGAAAAATTACCCGTGGATACCGGTTTGACGATTTCCGCATTAAAGGCCTCTTCAAAATTCGTATAATTATAAGAAGCCAGGTCCCAAGTACGATTGTTCCTCGTCCTAATAATCTCGCTGGCGTTCGAGCATTTATAAGATGGGGCCCAGAAATTGAAGTCGTAGGATGCATTGGCAAAAGGGGGCGTCTGAGGTATGGGACTATTCGATATATAAGTCCTCGTAAACAAGCGTGCAATTTCAGGCGCTACCCCGGAAATATATCCAAAGCCCCCGTATGTTCCCCAACCATCGGTATTCGAGAAGTTGTAATACGGAACCTTGGTTGCGACGCTATCGTGAGTCATACGCGACTCGACAGACAGAGTTGCCGGCGTTACAATTGTGATGATGGGAAGCAACCTATGATGGTCAAGAAATAAGCAGTTAGACAGGTGCTTCGACTATGAAGTTAAGGGTAGACTATTCTTAATGAAAGATTGTGAGCTCACCATGCGACAGCAGCAAGAACGGCGAGTCGTTTCGCATGTGTCAAAAAGTCTCTGTTCAAGAACGACAATGGGTTTCCCATAATATCGAACATGCTATCAATACCACCAATCGACATGGCTCTTTTCCTCAATGATAACCAGGTCTGTTGGACAGCAGCAATCCCTATCGCTGCGACTAGCCCGCATCTGGTGAGGAGGGCGAGCCCCGTCCCGATTCTAATCGACCATACCTGCAGATCCTCAGATGTCACAGGCGTGTCATTCAGCCTCTTGTAATAGAGGTGATGGCCTACTGCGGCTAGGATGCCTCCGACGAAGAAAGCTATCGCTAGTAAAGGATCTTGCAATCTTATTTCGGCGGTATTTTGTAGTCCAGCGCTGTCTAGTAATCGAGTTTGAACTTGTACTCCATTTCCAACTGCATCTTTCGACGGCTGCAGGTGGTTATAGTTATATTCTCCTTTAGAATTCATCTCGGGTGCTTGAGATGTGTTTGGTATATCGGGATTTGCTGTTATGTAGTAGTAGTTATTATAAGCATCTGTAGTATAGCTGTGACTGTATTCTGTGTATTGTGTGTACTGGTCGGCGTGGCCCAAGGGATGATCGTTAAAGCCATATTCAGGGGTAGCGCCATGCTGTTGGTTAGCCATAAGTTTGCTAAATTAATTTATAATTAATTTAAAATAAACAATAAACTTCATCTATTATATTTCTATGATGATGTCGGACCTCATTGAGAAGTCGAGAAACAGGTCAAAAATTTCAATTTGTTGATTGATGAGTTTGCATCCGCTCAAGTACATAGAGAAATCCAGACTGCGGCTCAGCTATGGTGGACGGTTAAGACATTTGTGCCAAAATCAGGAAAATGGGTCGGGGCTTTCCAAAAAGGGTAATATAGCAAGTGCACAGTATACTATGCGGGGTATATATAAAGTAAAATATAAAAGATTTTATTGTCAATTCAATTTTCAATTACCTTATACACATAACACATTTAAATAACTTTACAAAAACAACAATCCAAACGTTATAATTGGTATCATTCTATAGCCTTAATTGATGCGAAAATAATGGACCAAACTGCATGTTTATGCGAGGTATATTGAGTATTATATTGCTATTAAAGTATTTGGAATCTGTTTGGAATAACTTCATCGAGGTGCTTTTAAAGGGTATCACGTGCTTGCCTCTCCAGACAAGCGCTTTTTGATTCTACTATAACATGACAGCCAAAAGGCCGATTTAAATGCAACTTGAATCATTGTTTTCACATCAATTAGGGCTATAAAATGATACCAATTGTAACGTTTGGATTGTTATCTTCGTAAAGTTATTTGAATGTGTTATGTGTATAAGGCAATTAAAGATTGAATTGATAATGAAATCTTTTAATTTGATTGGCTAATGTTGGAGATTAGTGGGGAGGGTAGCCCGGATATCAATACTCTTTTAATATCTTTACCAATATTAGGTCAAATCACATGCAACCTGGACCATAATTTTTGTTATTTATTAATTAAAATATTAATGTTTTTTAGAAAGAATTTGGATGAATATTCGTAAAGTTATCATACTATTAAATTCAAAAGGGATATGTGTTACCTTGTAAATTGTATGTATACAGGGCATATAATCGAGTTTATACTGTACCCCTAGCGTTACTATTACCGTATTAGACATAGTGCCACCGACTTTTTCGATTTTGGCACAAATGTCCTAACCGTCCACCATATCAGCGACTATTATACCTAGGTAGGTACCTAAGTTAACATATCTAGGCGCATATCAATCACCCAATTAGACTGGCAGGACGTTTTAGATATTGGGGGCTAGAAATGTAAACCCTAGTAAACCCTGCCGTCGACCCATCAGCCTATGCAATACCCCATTTTCAGGAACATTAAAGCAACATTATGAAGATGGCGAAATAATATGCGAGTTGGCGAGTTTATCCCACCATATATACCTTATATATATACCATATATACCTATATACATGCTTCAAGCTATAAGAGACTATATACATCATACGAAACGGTAACTATATACACGAATTTCCAAGAAGGCAAATTTAACGAACGACGCAGCCAACCCTATGCTGTCACCACCTTGTACCTAATCCACAATGATCGGCGGTTAATCTGCGTTTAGGTCGCGGTAGTATACTCACAATCACAACTTATTTAAGCGACAGGGGTGGGTGCCGCCTTGGTTTTAGTTACCAAGGTCGTAGGAGCTCTCGCCTTAGCCTTAGCGGCCCCAGATCCGGTGAGCGAAGCATAGACAGAGTCGAGAAATCCTGAGTTCTGATACAGCTGTGACATATCCCACATCATCACACCGCCGAAACTCGAGAATTGCTTCGAATACTGGATGATTGGGTCCAATGCGGAGGCGGGTTGGTAACCACTACCGGCGCCGGTATTAGCTGGGACGCCAATAAAGATTTTAACATCCTTGTTTTTGCTGGTGTTCTTAGCCCAGTCGTCCCAAGTTTGAATGTTGAAGTTGTTCTGGGTCGTGGATCCCGGTGTAAAGGATGAAACACCGCAGTAGTTGTTGTAGAACTGGATCATGATGAAATCGAACGAAATCGCGCCATTCAGCATGTCGTTCGTAGCGACGTCCGGGTACGGGCATTGAGGCGCCGCGGAGAGGTAGTACGTCTTGCTACCATCGGCATCCATGAGCGAACGCAGCTTGGAAGCGAATGGCACGAAGTTCTGAGTCGTAGATTCGAGGTCGAAATCGAAGCCATCGACGACGGCAGAGAGGAATGGTCTGTTGGGCTTGCTCGTGTCTGAACCGAACAGATCCCATACAGACTGAGCCGCGCTCTCAGCTGACGAGGAGTCTGAGAAACCACCTTCAGTGTATGTCGCTCCCCCGATGGACAGGATGATAGTCTTTCCCTGAGACTGGCATGTCTTGATGTCCTCTTCCAGCTGCGGGCAGTTTAAGAGTTGGGTACCTGCATATGCCGTGCAGTTGTCTCCAGCGTTGGCAAAGTTCGTGATCGGGGTCTTAATGCCGTTCAAGAAAGCTATCGGAATGATCTACGAAAAAACATGGTAAGTAGGTATATTTGATCCCCGGTTCAAGAAAGTCCGAAGTCCGTACATTGATCTCATCATCTATAGCAACTCACGTTAGCAAGAGTAAGGCCGTATAGAAGGGGGAAGTGGGCTTACTTGAACAGTATTCAGCTAAGCGTTGCTGGGAGCTTGCTTGGCCGTAAGAGTTTTGACCTGTCGTGATGCGTTAACATCATATCAACAACGTTCCATATTATCGTATAACTATACCCCAATATACAGCAACATTGCTCTGAGAATCGCCGTTGAATCCCGCGAGGGCAGAGGGGAGAATGCTGGCCAAGGATGCCAGAGTCAGCGTGGAAGAAACCATGTTTGATATGTGGCTTGACTTGAGGCTCTAGCTACCGAACAGAAGAGGACTGGTATGGGAAAGGGTATTTTAGATCAGTTGAAGGGATGCACATACACGTATATATAGTTATTATTTCACATTCCTCGTTCACATTCCCTAAGATCCGTCTACCCGTCGCCGATGCCTAGATGACCGTCTGAACGTTACAAGCCTACGGTCATCGACTTGCCATGAGATGGCAACTAAACCCGTGCAACCAAGCCCATGACACGCCGTTGTTGTATGCTAGGATCTTTACTTAGACACCAGTTGCCTTAAAGGTTACCCCAGAAAGATCGGAACCACCGCACGCGTCATCCAGCCAGTATTGGGTCGACTCTAAGTTGACCTGCGGAAATTACACTACAACCAACTACTACACCAGTTCAAGCAGGTGATAGAGCCGCCGAATGCACGCGGTCTACTCTAATCGCACGAGGAGGTGGTAGACGATCTACGGACCGTTTCTCGGAGGAACATGGTATCAGTACCTGTCAAAGAGGAATTTATCCTATACAATATCCTATACAATATGCAGGCAGAGACCCCAGTCGGAAATTGAGCTAGGGCTGAACTGCTAAACTTGGATCGCCAATGAATCCCCAGCCGGTTCTGGGATTTCTATCCCACGGCTACACCCGCTATATCCACCTAAGACATACGCCGCAGCTCTAATCAAGGATATTGAACGTGTAAATATCACATTATGAATTTTGTTTAATTTGTATCACTTTCAGCTACATCACAGGAGCGATAAGAACAAGTTTTATTATCTTTCTCGAGAAACAATTGACTTGCAGCAGGTCCTGTAGTGTGATAGTCCCTGACATACACAGCTTCCCTTTCGGGGTTAGGGGTTCGGAGTTCACGAATGAGAAGGTAGATTTTTAACAAGACCATGCAAGCTCTTAAAGGGGGGGTTGACAAGGGCTAAAGCGCATCATTGCAACATTGACATGTCTTTTGACAAGCTTCCTTGTAACATAATCATATTCCAAGCTGAGCAAGTTAAGCTCAATGTTCATTTCCGCCAGACCTCTAGGACAGGACACCGAAGTCATCTGAGATATTACCAGGCTCACGTTCCATGCAACATTCCCTTGACACAGGCGTCCATCTGGATAACATATTGCCGTAGATAACCCCAATTCTTCACCATACCCCAGACTCAAGTCCCGCACGCTAATAATAAGATAGAAAAACCCAAGCTCCCAATCTAATATTGCAACGTTACTGTAGCGATAGCATCAACTACTACTTCCTCTTTATATACTAGACTACGGCGCCGAGGAGTAAGAAGTATGCACGTAAGATAGCTCCTGAGAGATACTTCCAAGCCTGAGGCAACCTCCCATCGCTTAGATAAATGTTCACCCACATCTATCTATCAACCAGTCGTCACATACCATGCCAGTAGTATCCCGACGCAAGCTGGGTGGCTTTATTCCCTATCCTTCCTGCCGGGCTGCTTGTTTCTGAAGTAAGTGTGTGATAGTATTGTAAGAGATATTGGGCATTCATAACGCCATGGCGATGAGGTGCACGTTTGTTATCAAGGCCGTAGACTCGACTAGTTCTATCCCCGGAGCCGACGACGTGAAATACTTGTAAGATGTCAACTTTTACGTGATGTTGGCTGCTAATGTAAAGTTTTAATACGTTCCAACTATAGATTCCGTTTAGAATCACCTAGATATCTAAGTATATACCTAGGTAGGTACTCGGATGCTATTACGGATTAAGGACATCCGTAACAGGTGCCTAAGATATCTGGTAAGATTCTTTTAGGACAAGACCAACATAATCATATCTAGGGCTATGTAGAATTTGTTCCAGAATATATCCCTAGTGGAGTTATGTGAAATATAAGATCGAAAGCTTTTGATATGACATAGGGGCGATAAACTCTTGCGCTAGCGTAAGTTGACTCGTGTAGAAAAGTATCAACCATGGTTTAATATGGGATAGTAAAGCTATGGGTATAAGAGTCGTTGAAGTTGGATATATATAGCTTTAATTCGGCACGCTGGATGTTACAGTATAAATACCTGGTAAAAATGTATTCTACAAGGCATGTGGCAGATATCATATCAATAATACTAATGTTCATCTAACCCTAGAGGTTATAATTCTTACATCCTCCATTTTGGATGCCATTGTCCACTAGGTCCTACCATTGCCTCAACGCGGATCCAAAACACCGCGATACTAGCAGCAAAGAGCAACACTCCGACGAGTACCGCCATGTTAACATAACCATGCGGTGCGAAAGCTGCACTCTCGGTACTGCTCCGAATCAGGGCACCACCAACTGGCGTACCAATTAACGTAGCTAGGCCACGAACCATATAAAGCACACCATTGACAGAGGCAAAATTCTGTATGCCGAAGATCTCGATGAGACTGGCAGGGAACAATGATACGTACGCGCCAGCAAAAAGACCATATAAGACAGTGAAACTGATAAAGAGGCCGCGCGAGTTGTCCGTAGAACCATAGACGGCTGAAGGAACCCAGAAACTCAGTGTAATAGCTGCGCTGATGAACGTGGTTAGGAAGAGAGTATTGAGACGGCCTAGGCGGTCAGCGAAGTAGCCGATGACAATCTTGCCGATTGCATTACATGCGTTGCTAAGCGCGATAAAATTCGCTCCAGCGGTAGCACTATATCCAAGGGTACCGGCATACGAGGCGAAGAAAAAGACAGGAGTATAATAGGCGGCGGCTTGAAGGATAGCACCTAGCCCCTGAGCAGCAAACTTCCGCGTCTTGGCTACGCGCCAGTCGACCAGCGGCACGTTTAGGATACCTTGAAGACGACCCGTACGCGAGGCATTCTCAGCGTTGATGCGCGCGAGCGCCTGAGGCTCCCAGCTCATGGCGGCGCTGGATAGGGCGACCAAGACGAATGATACGACCCCGGATACACGAAGCGAATTCCGGAAACCAACAGAATCAATAAGCACCTTAATCACCGGTGCCCATACGAGGCCTCCGACACCAGTCCCAGCCAAAATGATGCCCATAGCAAGACCCCGGCGTGCCGTGAACCAAACGGGCGCCACCGTCACGGCAACCATATATGGCATAGAAGTGCCTATACCAAGAAGCAGACCCTGCGTGAGCTCAAAATGCCAGAGCGTGGTTCCGAAACTGGCCAAAATGAGCGAGAGTCCAAATATGAAACCGCCGATGAACGAAATCCAACGGGGAGAGAAACGCTTGGCCCAGGCTACCGAGAATGGCGCAATTATGGTCATCACTGAAATGGATATCGTTCCAATGAGGTCAATAAGTGCAGGAGTCGCGCCAGTAAAAGGAGTATTGGGCTGCCGTGCCATCCCGTCGTAAAGTTCTTGAAATACACCGAAGGCGAAGTTGAGCCCGCAGCAAGTGAATACCATTGTGAATGAGGATGCAACTATTATCATCGACTTTCTATTTTCGAGTTAACCTTGACGCTATAAATATAATAAATATTATACTCAGATACATCTCCGAAATTGGAACGAATGAAATAAGAGTCTTGCTACTTCGAGTACAGTTCATAGCTGAACGCAGGAGCATTGGCAAAAGAGTAGTAGGTCTAACTTGCATACCGGTTGGAAGTCTCATGGTGGACTGATTGTAATATGGTAGGAGCTGCTTCAGTTTCTGGAATTGAACCGTGATTTGCCAACCTAACTAGTTGTTCATCTCTTGTAGAGGATAAACCGGAAAGCTCGATAGAAGACATATTGACAAGAAGAGGCTCATGTTCTGCCCGTAAATATATACTTTAAATAAGTGCAGATGAAACCACCGGCTTCAAGAAAGAGACGAGCAATTCTACGATGCTATAAAGTCAAAGGTAAGCACTCGGGGAAGTATTTTTGTGTTTATACCTTTTTGTTCGGCTCGATGATCCACCCAAGATCGGAGCTTTAAGGGTTGGTTGTCAATGTCTAAATACCGGCTTACCGAAGGCCATGTGGGGGGAGTCTAAGAAGCTCAAAGACAATTATGAACAACTACCCTTAGGTACCTAACTAACCTAGATCATTAACAAGAGAATCAGTACGAAGTACCTTATACATCGAAGAAAACTATAGGCTAAGTTTAGTTTAATGGGAGACTTAGACATAACTCTTGGAATTGTAGGGAGTTTTTAAGTCTTCTCAACGACTTCACTAATATTGAGGGGTTAGTAGTCCTACACATGGGCAGTGCACATCGGAGCATTTAGGACTTAGGGACCCATCCAGCTTACTGCATGACGAATCCCAGTTACGCCCTACGATTGACAAGTCGCGTAGTGCAGACTACCTAGGGGTTAGGTTAGGTTAGAATGTTCGAAATTCTAGTTAATGCTTATTAAACTTCAAAATACCATCAATGAAGCTATACTGTTTCGTACAAGCCTGAATAGACTAAGCGCGGTAAACACCCTTTGCGTCGGCCTTGTAATGCCCCGGAGTTAACTTTCCTATTTCGGTAATTTCCCAATTCGGAGGGCCATCTGTCGAAGAGGATCGTCGGTAGAGGTAGTTGGATTGAGTAAAAAGATGCTAATTCGGCTCAATAGCCTTTGATTATAACAAGCCATGATCACGCAAATGTAAACACAACGTGGGGTTCTAGGAAAAGTAGTTGCTTAGCCAGGACCGTAACCTTTAAGATATAAAGTATTAAGGGAAAAAGAGGAACTCTATTTCTAGAATCTCGCGCCCTTTGCCTTAGTCAAGGGGACGCAGCACTCAAAGGGCGCGAAACTCGATAGACGCGAAGGGCGCGGGATTCGATAGACAGCGTCAATAGAAGCTATTTTAAATATATACCTAAGAATCACATACTAAAATGATCGCCTACCTAATATATCTCGAAAATAGTTATCTTATAATAATTGCTAGTTATTTAAATTTTTGATATCTTCATTACTACGCACGTCTAACTCAATTCACATAGAGCGACATGGAGAATACCCCTCTTAACGGCGACTTTGTCGTCAGCACCCGCAGCGGGATCTTAGAGAACAGACATTTAGTCAACGCCGCCGTCGTTGATGCTTCCGGCAAGATCCTCTACACCTTGGGCGACCCTTCACGAATAACTCTCCTCCGTTCCGGGGCTAAACCTGTCCAGGCTGTACCCGCGGTAGAGTCCGGCGCGTTAGACCAGTTCGGCTTTGAAGAAGCCGACCTGGCACTTATGTGCGGCACTCATAGCAGCGAGGAGAGACAAGTAGAGCGAGCAAAGGCCATGCTGGCGAAGTCGAATATTAAAGAGAGCGATCTTCAATGCGGCAGCCACCCGGCCATATCTCCTGTCGTTAACAGAGACTGGATCGAGAAGGGATTTACGCCTACTCAGGCTTGTCACGCTTGTTCTGGCAACCATATCGGTATTATGGTTGGTGCAAAGGGCATCGGCACTAGTATCGTCGACTACCATACTTTGGATCATCCAATTCAAGCTAGGATCAAATCTATTATAGAAGACTTGACTGGTCTTCGTCCCGGCGAGGTCAGATTGGCCTTGGATGGCTGTAATATCTACTCGCCGGCAGCACCACTGCATTCCATAGCCCTCATGTACGCTGCTTTCGCTCAAGCAGCAGACGATGTAGCAAAAGCGAGCAGCTCGGTATCCCCACGCATACGAGCGATGGCTCGAATTTACAATGCAATGGTACGGTTTCCGGAGAATATTGCCGGCGACGGTCGCTTCTGCACTGCCCTGATCGATGCGTACAAGGGCGCGCTCATTGGAAAAGGGGGCGGAGACGGCTGTTACGCCATCGGTATCCGCGAGTCAGAGGAGACACGGCGACTTGGTGCTAATGGCAGTATTGGTATTGCGCTTAAGATAGAAGATGGCAATTACGCTATTATGGACGCGGTTGCGGCGGAGATCCTCGAGCAGTTAAATATTGGATCGACTGAAGTACGTCAACGCTTTGATAGTTTCCATCGCGGTGAGATTAAGAACACCATGGGAATAGTTACTGGAGAGTTGTCTTTTCTGTTTAAGCTACGAGCAGCTTAACGATATTTTCATAATATATAACAACAAAAACAAGTCTTAATATTAACTACCTCCTATGAGACGCTTCTCCGTGAAAACCTTTCCTATTTAAAATTAATCATTTCAATTCTCTCTTACTTGAGGCCTTGTCCCTCTATAAGTTATCCTTGACTTTATGAAGCTATTCACCATAACCCCCTGTACTTGAGACTCTCTACCCACCTTCCTAATCAAGCAAGATAGGGTCGGGTCGGATTGCGATTCGTTGCCGACACCACCGTTGGAGACCGTCGGAGGGAACGAAGATGTATTGAATGCAAGTCAGCAGCACGTACCCAACTACTTCTTGAGGAATTCATCTAACTTCGTTCTCGTCCCTTTCCTTGCCAGCACGCCGACCACAATGGAGATAACGCCAAGCCCTCTGCCTGTGGAGGCATCCGCGGTAGTTCCCAACGACAAGACGTCTAATTCTATTAACCTGGGCAACGATGGATGGAAACCCACCAAACGGTTCCTCCTAGCTTTCATGTCGCTGTTGACGATAGTATCAGCAGTAGCAATTGAATCGACCAGTTTACCCACCGCGCTCCCTATCATGAGCGCAGAACTAGGGGGCACTGCTCTGCAGGCGTTCTGGTCCGGGACAAGTTTTCTTTTGGCCTCGACGGTGATCCAACCAACGGTCGCGTCGATGTCGCATATACTAGGCCGAAGAATTGTAGGACCCGTGATAATTACCTCAAGATGATAATTACTGCTAAGCTAAGCGGTTTAGATGCTGTACGTTAGCAGTGCTGGGTTCGTGGGCGGCTCGCTTATTGCTGCACTTGCGGGAAATTTCAATGTCGTGCTTGTCGGACGGACTATCCAGGTGAGTATAAGACTGCTGAAGATATCATATATCACAGCACAGTCTAACAGAATTAGGGAGCAGGGGGTAAGCCATTAGACAATTTTGGTGATTAGAACTCATACTTATCGTTTCGTTAGGTGGAGGGCTCATCGTGCTTCTGGAGGTAAAACTGTCCCTTCTCGCGTAGTATAACGATTAGAGTACCCAAGACTGACACTTTAGCAAGATTCTCATATCCGATCTCGTGCCTCTTGCGCATCGAGGTACTTGGTTCAGCATCAACTCGGCCATGTGGGGTATCGGCACTGCTACCGGACCCCTGATCGGAGCTGGATTTGCCCAAGACGTCGTAGGTATCATAATTGCAGTGATTACTTGATGAAGCTGATTTTCGAAAGACTTGGCGGTGGATATTCTGGATTAACTTGCCTATTGTCGGCGTTGGGATGCTCTTAGTCACATTATTCTTAAAGCAAGCTCAGGTACCGGGACATATCGTTGAGAAGCTTAAGAGGTTCGACTGGCTTGGCTCCGTACTGTTTTCAGTTAGCTCTGCCTGCTTTCTATTCGGTATTACTACAGGAGGTGTTGCGTTCCCATGGTATACATTAAGATATTCATAACTTCAATCCTAGGGCACTGACAAGCTATAGGACATCTTACCAAGCTCTTTTGCCACTAATTATCGGGTTCTTGGGAATGCTCTTCTTCGTTTACTGGGAGTTCTGTTTTGCGATAGGTCCTATCGTAGACAGACGCATTTTCGCTACTTGGACGGCAATCTCAGCTTATATCCAAACCATGCTACACGGTCTTATCTTATACGCGGCAATATACTTCCTCAGTAAGACCGTTTCCAATATGACCCGAAAAACACCACTGAACGTCGAAGCTAATCATTTCTCATAGCCCTATTCTACCAAGCCGTAAAGCTGTACTCGCCAGTGACTTCAGCTATCGCTCTACTCCCAGAAACAATTGGCTTATCCCTCTCGAGTGTTGCCGTGGGAGCCCTGACAGGCATGACCAAGAAGTATCGATGGGCCCTCTGGGGAGGATGGGTTTTGACTACCGCCGGTTCTGGGCTTTTATACCTCCTAGGCACAGGCACTACTGTTACCCAATGGGTATTCTTGAATATCCCATTCGGCATTGGGGTTGGCATGCTCTTCACGGCTGAACTCCTAGCTATTCAAGCTGCTACGAAGTATGTAATGACCATCCAGTTAAATCCCTCGGAGGGAGGTTTCAGATTATGGCCTATGCTAACGCCTTGCAGACCCGAGCTCAACGGCGAAGCCGCGGGTTTCTTCTCATTCATCCGCATCTTCGGCCAGGCCTTAGGTGTCGCTGTCTCGGGAGTGATCTTCCAGAACTCGTTGAAGCAAAAACTTCTTAGAATACCGGGGCTCGCGTCCCTAGCAGACGAGTACTCGCGCGATGCTACCGCGATAGTCGCTCTTATCCACGAAATGGCCGATGGAGATACCAAGACGCGAATGATTCAGGCATTCTCAGATGCCCTAAGTTCAATATGGCTATCACTTATAGCATTCTCGGCTGCGGGTTTGCTATTGAGCTTGACGGTAAAGGGCTACTCGATGACACAAGAACATGTCACTGCGCAGCATCTGGTCCAAGAGAAGGATGGAGATGGAAATTTGGAGGCTGGTGTTTTGAGTAATACCGAAGCTAAGAAGTCGTGAATAAAAGATGCTGCTGATGTCTGTTTGGATTCGGCTATTCCTATATTGCTAACCTTCCTCCTTATATCGGAGTCCAGGCTGGACTATGGCTGATACGAGCGTTCTGACCATCCTAGACGTCAAATAAGGGTTGTGAATATTGTTAGCCTGTCATATAAATGTAGCATGTTGGAATGTTTACCAAACACACAAACGTACATTGTCCTGTCTAATAACTGGGCAGTAAATTGTCTCTCCTAAGACCCTCTATGATGACTTCGTAGTCAGAAGCTGGCTTTATTATTTCAACTATACCTAGGTTTCGAGCCTTGTTAATCGCCCACCATTCCACACTCCTCCATGTAGCCTAGTGGATAAAGATTCAAACCACATTGTACCAAAAAAGGGGCAGCGCCATGCTTCGATGCATAGAAGCCACCCGTAAAACGGTTTGAATAAATCATACAAGAGCAGGAAGCCTTGTATTGTTCCTCCCTTCTCCATAACCCCCCTTTTCCTTAGCACTTTATAAAAGTGCCCGGGTTTCTTTCTACCATAACGCAAGGCCCCGATATCCATTGACATACGCTTCAGCACTTCAAAAGATACAACCCGATTAGTACCTCAGATCTGTTCTGTTGGTAGTGTAAGCACACGTCTGAGCCTGGCCTATCGCGCATCTCAACAACAAGATGCCCATCCTCTCCAGGACATGGAAACTCGAGGGGCTGGGCGCTCATGCCAGGTTCTAGGTTTACTGCCTCTAGTGGCATTACAACAGGCGGCGCGTTATTATAGGTTGTGTTCCTCGGATCGACTGGCGGTTCCTCTAGCAGCGCGAAGCTCACTAGTCCGGTTCCATTCAGCGTATAGAGGGGAGATTGTTGTTCTTGGGTAGAAGGCAAGTCGAAGATGAGAGCACACTGCTTGTTCGAGTCCGAAGAATCAAAATCGAAGACAAAGATGGCGGATATTTCTGGGGTCAGCAAAACTATCATGTTAGGATTTGAGCCATTACTCGTATCCGGTTTGCGCTTATCGACTAGAATGATCTCGTCGGGGCGCTCGAAAATGGGTGTTTTACAGTTGCCAGGGGCTGTAGTAGGCGTGCCCGTCGAAGCCGACAATGAGGCCGTAGTGGTTCCATCATGCGAAGAAATTTGGGTTGTGTGGCTTGGTGATGCGTGAAAGGAAGCTGTAGTAGAGGTCAAAGGTGTCCTACTTGTGCCAATTGTACCAGTAAACGGCCTCGACGAAGTGCTCGCACTAGCACACGGAGGTCGACAGCTATCGGCATGGAGCGTAATGATGGAACAGTCGGCACCATTAGGTTCTAGGTATAAGTTTACCTCGTCCCCGTCGCCTGTCTGACATTCGTAGAACAAAGACTGGTGTTCGTACGACACACCGCCGTAACACCCAATGACAAACCCATGGCCTAGTTGTTGGTTCGAATCGCATTGAAGTAGCAACGTAGGAGCTAGAAATACAATGTATTGCATTAGTTAAATCTTAGCAAAGAAGGAGTTGGATAAACTAGTAGATCATACGAGTCCACCAACAGCCTCTCCCTTGATGATCAGTGAAGGCATCACCGAACCAAGTAAAGAGAGATGGCGCTAAGTCGCTCCCAACTCGTACCTGTCCGTCCGCCAATTGGCCGACAGATCCATTATGACCGCTCCCTATTGTTAAATGAAAGGCACACCCGGCGTTTATTCGAAGGGGGGCCAGGGATGTGGTCTGCACAGGGGCAAGAGAGGCCAGAAACGCGATGAGTATGTTCGGTAGCAGCATCTTGGTAGCAAAAGCCTAGAGTCCTTAGGGAACTTCAGACGATGCCAAAAACTAGGTGTTCTATAAAGAGAGCTTCCCAAAACCAGGCCAAAAAGCTACCAAGGTAGATCGGGAATACCGAGGAACTCAAGGCGAGCAAGTCAGATTAGAAACAAGACTGCAACAATAATGTTAAGGAAAGGATGAAAAGGCAGGAATATTTAAGTAATATCTTATGAGGTAAGGTACCTAAGGTATGGAATTATCCAAGTATACAGAGGTCGCTCCTAACTTACATCTTCGTAATACCATTCGTACCTGTGGTCATTCAAGACGGGATCATGGGTAACCACGAATATCAAATAACGATGGAAGTCGCCTAGGTTCTAACGAGCGTAGTAATAACATCATTAAAGGTGTGTTCTCTCCTGGAGGAAGTGCCACTTTATGGACTTTATCGTGTCTACCTATGTACCTAAGATATAGATTCTGCTTAGTACATCTACAAGCGAAGAGTTTCGTAATGATATCAAGTATTATCACGGACATAATTAAAGCACGAGGAATTGGCGTGTATTTATGAGGCTACGAGGGAGGCATCATATTTCGATATAAACCCACCCAGCCATCATGAATCCTATTATCCTCCTAGCCCAATGCCTTAGTTTTCCACCCCTTGACGAGGTAACTATGCATTTACTTGATGTTCCATTTGGACAGAAGCTAGTGGGCTCTCACGTTAGACAAGATTTGGGATCTTTCAAATCTGTGTCTGACGGAATCTAGATATTAAAAACTAGCCCGATTTCTATGTAACCTCAGGCAGCCGTGTAAGGCGGGCTGCTAGGTGAGCATAGAGATCCCTTCCGTCTGCTGCGTCACCCGGCGGAACTGGTTGCAGCCGGACGTCACGCATATATGCGCTTCGCCTGCATGCCGGCCAATCCACTCCCTTTTAGACGACATCAAGCATGGGCAGGCTGGCTAGGACTTGACCTAACAAAATGAGTAGGCCATACTGATTGTTTCTAAGGAGCAGAACCAATTATTCATCTTTCATCTTCGCTGGCGTCGCTATCGTCAATATCGCTCAGCTCATCCAGGGGTATCATATCATCTTCTTCATCTTCACGGCCGGCTGCAGCTTCATCATTCGATGATTCGTCATCGTCGCTGCTGAAACCTTCAAACTCTTCTTCATCCTCGCTCGCACTCGCTTGTTCCCCAACGGACGTAGCCGATGCAGCCACGGTTGTATCCGGAACGCTCTCCAAGTCTTCCCTCTTCCGTTTCTTCGGCATCTCTCCGAGCCTACCCCGGCGTCCTTCAAGGCCTTTCCCATCGTCCCCTTCCACAATAGGCGCAGGGGTGAACCACGGAATCTTGCCCCTCATAAAGTCTGTTATTACCATCTTAGCAACTCCATCGACATCCGGCTCTCCAGCCTTTAATAGACGGCCGCCCTTTCGGGCGAGAAGTTCCAAAAAGTGAATATGGTCATTCCACCCCCTAATTTCGTATGTTCGTTCCATATGATGCTGCTTGACTTTTGCCATTAATGCAGGAATGTATTGTTCGGGTTGCTCTACCATCTCAACGCGAACCACGCCACGAAGTAGGATATCCTGAGGCGTGTCGTTCTGATTGGGAGGAACCACACCGGGACAATCTATAAGATATATCCGTTTCATCAGAGTAACATATTGCCAGACTTTGGTCTCGCCGGGGATAGGAGCTACAGTAGCGACCTTCTTTCCACGTAGGGTATTGATGATAGACGACTTTCCCACGTTGGGATAACCTATTAACCCGACTGATACCTGTTTTCGATCCTTGTGCAATTGCGAGAATTGCCGAAGAAGCTGGATAAGGGAACCTTTGCCAAATGGGTTGGTCACGCTTGAGTGGAAAGCAAGGGTAGGATACTCGGTAGAGAGGTTTCGAACCCAGGCGGCCTTGGACAGTGTTAATATAGGGTCCAAGCATAAATGACTGCAAAATTAGGAAAAGGAGAGGAGAAAAGATGTATGAATCACTACTAAGAAATCTACCACTGACGACCCTAAATGGGTAGATAGATCTCAACTCAAAATGAAACACGGCCTAACTAATGGCAGTACCTCAAGACGAGGCTCCGCCAGTTCCCAACCCGAGGGTTAGGAACAGCAAGTTGAGATATTTAATCTCCCAATGACATAACGGATACTTCTCATCGGAAGTAAGAGGAAGTACCCTGACTAAAATCATTGGGGTGGAGGTAGACAAGAAATAGCGAAAATGAAGAATAGTACTTACAGCCACGCTCGTGGGTACCAAGTCGGTCTTGTTTAAAACGAAGATGAGGTGCTTGTGCGGCGCCTCTTCTCTTAGGTATTTCTCGACACTACGACATCGAGTTCCTAGAGGATCTCGAGCATCAAGTACGTGGATAATAACGTCCGAAGCACTATCCAATATTAGTAAATTGCCTTGCGTGAACAGAACCTCATAGAAGTAACAAGACGTTGACATACTCAAGAACTTTGTATAACTCATTCCATATACGCTTACTAGTCCCCTTGTTAAAAATCGGTTCGATAGCCAAAGCGAGGGTGCCCTCGTTATCGGGTTGGCCCTCGCTAGGTCCTTCGAGATCAACTCCCGAATTTCCACTCAATAACTTCAATTGCTCGAGGTGGTCCTTATAGGCGTCCATGCTCTTCTCGGTGTCATCAGCCAAGTCTTCTAGACTAGATACACCCAGCTTGACTCTTTTGCGCTGAGATTTCGGACCGAAGGCGTCAGCAAACGGCGAGCTCTCGATAGTCATCTTGGCCTTATGCTGCTTCAAGCCATTCTTCGTATCCGAGTTGTCTCTGATAAGACTCATGGGAAGCTTGTTTGTCTTCAGCAGGACTTGGTAAGGGTCTTTTGCTTTCTCGGCCATAGCATCGCGGAATGCCGTGAGGGAATCTTGCGAGATGACTCGGGTGTTGGTAAACCATTTCCTATTGGGCTCGACGCGAGCGGTCGGCGCATCCCAGGACTGATATTTGGCAGCTTGAATGATCCTACCATCGGCATTTCGCACAGGCTTTCCTTCATCCTTCCGTATGTTCAAGGCTTTGACTCTCTTCGCAGAACGATAAAAGTTCTCGCCCTTGACTTTAATGTTGTCCATGCCCGAACCCGACTTGCCCTGCCGGACCAGCCGGTTTCTTTCCTTCTTACCAGTCCCCATGGCGCCCAAATTCGTGAGCTTGAGAGGTACGATGGGAAGGAAAATGGGTATGTGAAGAAAGTCAGTTAGAAAAAAAAGAAGATGGCTGATGGGGGAATTAGAACTATTTTTTTTTTCTTTAGACTTATCTAATCGCGCTAAAAAGTCGGCATATAAATTTGATTTTACCGAGACTTTACAATATCCACCGACCCCACTTCCTCCAGCCCGTCTGCCAGTGAGCTGTATCGAAAGTGGGTCTCACTGAATTTCTTTGCATGTAACTTTTTCGAAGCAATTCAACCCAAGACTACGAATTAGACGATTGCGATATTTGCGATATTTGCAATATCGAGGGGTGCGCAACAGGCTTAATGACCTCAATTAGCTGAGTAGTCTGCGTTTTAATAAAAAAGTGCCTACTGGCACACCGCACATCCTGCCAATATGCCCCCATTACTTCCCCGGCCGGCTCTCCTCCCACGAGGATCCATATCACGAGCCCTCTTCTCCTCCACCGCCGGCCGACCCTCGCAGCAAAAGATCCCTCCAGAGTCCCCTCTCTTCATAAACATACCGAACCCGCCGCAAGATCAGTCCATCGAAGCCCTGCGCGAGCTCAAACCTATCAAAGGTCATCTGCCAGTGCCGCGGCAGGTTTTCAAGAAGCGCGATGGTCACCTTAAGCCCAAAGATGAATGGCTTTCGCGGTCTGCACCCGAACCCTCCTCCGAGCGCTCCAAGCAGGCTCCCCGCTCCGAGATCCAGGCATGGAAGCGCAAAATAGCCGCCTCCCGCCGAGAGAACATGCGTGAGGGTGTTCGTGCCCTATACTTTCGAAAGAAGCTCTTCGACACCCGGCGAACTGAGCGGCAGACTGCCAGACTAGCCGCCCACCGAGCCGCCGCCACAGCCCCAGAGCGCGAGGACGAGCGGTTAACTCGCGGCTCGATCAACGCCGGCACATTGCAAACCAAGGTACATCCGGACCCGGAGCGCTTCGAGCGAGCCCTCGAGTCCCGCGAGCGAACCGAGTCCTTGGCCACGCAGAGGAGCGAGGCCCGCCGCGACGCCATCCAGGAGCTATACATGAAGGCACGGTCCTTCATCGTCGACGAAAAGGATCTAGAGACCGAGGTCGAGCGCCTGTTTAGCCCCGACTACTGGAAGAAGATGGGTCTGTCGGCCAGCGGTTACGAGGTGAACAATATCTGGGACCTGGACGGCAAGCCTAAGACCGTTGCCGATATGCTGAACGATGTGTCGCGGACTACAAGCCTATTGGTGAAGAACCTAGAGACGGAGAAGACCCGAACCCTCAAGAGGCAGAAGGAGGTTGCCGAGGAGTTGACTGGTGGTAAGCTGGACGAAGTATAGCGACGACTTGAAAGCAGAGGCAAGAATTGTAAATATATAAGTCTATTAGATCGCACCATTCCTCTTTGGACGACAGCCGCAGCATACTCAGGCATCGATGCCAATTACGGTTATCGGTACAAGTTTGACACCTTCACAAAAAGTTGTACCATGTATGTATAAAACGACATTTATGATCTACAATGTCGTATGTGCCTAAACCTTGAACGCCCCGAATGATCCATATGCCCTTGAGCTATCCAGCCCAAGCGTTGCCGAGCTATGCAGGAAATATTGAGACAATGCATCAGATGCCAATTTGGCCAATGCCCTGATAGATACCAACATAATTCTACATGTGTTTCCGAAATTATCTTCATCGTACCTAATCTACCGCTTCTCCACGAGCAAGAAATGCATAGCGACGTATGCTAACACCACAAAGACACCAGCAAACACGCCCAAGTTGGCGATGTCCATCCACTTTGATCCGTTATTGAAACCGAACGAGCTCAGGATTGCCGCACCA